GCAACTGCAGCGCAGATCCGTTCCGGGAAGGGGTGCCACCCCAAGGCTGGGCGCGGCGGTAGGGGTGGCGGTGCGGGTGAAGGTGGTGGTGGAGTCGGGTCGCCTAGTGGTAGCGTTGACGAGGGGACCCGGACAAGTGCAGCCGAGCAGCCGTCTCCGCCGCCGCCGGTGTCGCAGCCGTACACACACTAGCCGCAGCAGCAGAGGAGGGCGGGTGGTCTCCCGCCCGGGTGGTCTCCCGCCCGGGTGGCCTGGCGCTGGTGGTGGCGCTGGACGTGGTGGTCGTGCGCGTAGTGGGCTGTCGGGTGGCGGGTCGGGTGACAGACGCTGTCAGTACCTGCTCCAGACCAGTCCTCGTAGTGGCTTCGTTTGCGGTAAGATCGGTCACACCTCCGTCCACTGTTTCCGTCGCCAGGACGACCTGTTTCGTCAGCGCTTCGGCCCGTCGCCCGACCTCCCCGACTGGCACAGCTTGCTTTGACATAGCGTTCAGATCTTTGATATGGACATGGATGAGATTGTTGCTGCCCTGCATGTGATGTATGCTGATGACTCTAGAGTGACTATTTCTTGCTACCCCTTGTTGCCTAGTGTAGGCGTGTCTAGTCGCGCCTCCCATGCTGCGTCAGGCTTAGGATCCCCTGCTTTGTTTAGCCTTGGTTCTTCCGTCGCTGCTCCGACTCCGGACTCCACTGCCGCGCTCTCCTTCATCTTGGACTCTGGCACTTCTCGGTGTTTCTTTCACGACTCCACTACGCTGACGTCGCATCCTGCTCCTGCTGCAGTTTCTCTTGCTGACCCCTCCTCCGGCCTGGTAGTCGCCCGCAGTCCCACCACCCTTCCCTGTCCGGTGGTTCCTTCGAGCTCTCTTAAAGGCCTGCACATCCCCTTGTTCTCCAGAAACCTAGTTGGTGTCGGCTGCCTCCAGGACCTTGGCATCACCACTACGTTCCCTGGTCACGAGCGGTACGCCGTCTGTACCAAGGCCGCCACTGGTGCTCCCCTCACCACGTTCCCCCGGGACCCGGTGTCCGGACTGTTCACACTGGACACCGCGACCCCCCTGGTTGGGACGTCCCCTCAGGTGCCTGCGTCTACCCAGGCTGCTGTTGCTCCCTGCTCCTGTCGGTCGCTCACTCACCCGACACTCCTGCGGCACCACCGTCTAGGTCACCCTGTACTCCCGTGTCTGCGTCACATGTCACAACACGGTCTCGTCCTACATCTCCCAGGGTCGTTCCCCGAGTTGCTCTCATCCCCAGCACCACCATGCACGCCCTGTGTCGAGGGTCGGCTCCGCCGTGCCCCTCACTCCTCCTCGTTCCCCCCTACCGCCGCACCGCTACAGACTCTGCACATGGACGTCTGGGGCCCCGCCCCCGTCCATGGACTGCGTCGAGAGCGCTACTTCCTAGTGCTTGTCGACGACTACACGCGCTACACCACGGTGTTTCCCCTTGAGCGGAAAGCCGACGTGCCTGACGTTCTCATCCTATGGCTTGTTTCTGCGCGTGTCCACCACGGTCTCCCTGCCTTACGTCTCCACTCCGACGGTGGCGGCGAGTTTGCCTCCGGCATTCTTGGTCGTTTCTGTCATGCGGAGGGCATCACCCAGACGTTCACCTTGCCGGACTCCCCGCAGCAGAATGGGGTCGCTGAGCGACGCATCGGTTTGGTCATGGAGGTGGCTCGTACCTCCATGATCCATGCCAGTGCACCCCATTTTGTGTGGTCGTTCGCCGTTCGCTACGCAGCTCATCAGCTTAACCTGTGGCTGAACTCCCAGCAGCCGCAGGTTTCGCCGACCCTCCTTTGGTCCGAGTCTCCTGGTGACGCATCTGCGTTCCACTTCCGGGGCTGCCTTGCTCATGTCCGTGCCTCTGGCGCGGACAAGCTCAGTGCCCGCACCGTCCCCTGTGTCTTCCTTGGTTTCCCCCTCGACGCGTCCGACTGGCACTTTTACCACCCGCCGTCTCACCGCTTCTTTCACTCTCGCGACGTCACCTTTAACGAGTCCGTCTCCTTCTACCATCGTTTCCCACACCGTGGTTCCGCGGTTACTCCCCCCCTGTTCCTGGTCCCCCCTTCCCCAGTGGCCCCTGCCCCTCCCCCCCCCCTCCCCGTCCTGCCCCCTCTGGTGTGTCCCACGTCACTACCCTCACGTCGGTTGTCCCGGTCGAGGAGTCTGCTGTCTCTGGTGGTCCTGCGGCGCAGTCCTTGCCGCCTGCCCCTCTGCAGGTGTCCCCTCCTCTGGTGCCTCCGCAGCCGTCGTCGCCACCGCTGTCGTAGCTGCCGTCACTGTCGCCGCCGCCGCTCGTTGCAGCCACCGCCGTTGCAGCCGTTGCCGCAGCAGTTCGTTGACCCTAGGGGTGCTGGCGTTGGGGTGGGTACTCGTCCTCGGGTTCCTGTCGTGGCTTGTCCCGGCGGGCCTGGGGGTGGTACCGGTGCTCGAGGGGTTTCGGGCTCTGGGGGTGTTCCTTCTGGGGGTGCTGGAGTGGAGTGTTCCGGAGGTAGCCATGGAGCAGCTTGCAGTCCCGGTGTCCGTGTTGTGCCGCCGCAGCAGCAGTCCCCGCCGGTGTCAGCCCTTCGCGTGCTCCGACTTCCGTCCCCTGACCCTGCGTCCACGCCTCGCATGTCGTCTCCTCCTTTCTCTGTCTACAGCCCTGGGTTCCCTCCCCCGGACTCGACTCCAGCTCGTCTTCCCCCTCGTATCCCTCCTGTGTCCCCTCCTCTGCCTCCTGACCCGACTCCTCTGTCTCATGTCTGGTCTCACCGTCCCTCCCGTGCTCGCCCCGTCTCCCCTATCCCACGCTCTCACCCTATGTTGCTTCGTTCCTACGCGTCTCCTACCGTCGCCTCCTCCGTCCTCCCTTGTTGTTGCGCCACCCTCTCTGTCTGACTACCTTCGCGCCGCTCGTCCTCTTGTTCCTTGGGTCCTTGCCTCTCTCGTTACCGACCCGTCTGTTCCGGTCTCGCGTCTTGACCCTCTTGTCGCTGCGGTCACTGACTTAGCCTCTACTCGCCGCCTTGACTACGCCACCGCTCTGGTCTCTGACCTTGCCAGTCCTCCGTCTGTCGGGGGTGCTCCTGCCCTCGGCTATGACGTCCTGGAGGACCACCAGTACGAGCTTGCTTTCCTGTTCGAGGCTGCTCCCCATCTCTGTTTCATGTTGTTAGTCCCTGAGGGTAACCTAGACGCTTTCGACATCCCGACCCCTCGTACTTACGCTGAGGCGACCTCGGGACCTTGGGCCTCTTAGTGGATAGCTGCCATGGAGCAGGAGATGGCATCTTGGAGATCCACCGGCACCTACGTCGACGCAGTTCCCCCACTTGGGGTGAACGTAGTCGATGGCCGCTGGCTCTTCAAGGTGAAGCGCCCTCCTAGAGAGCCGCCAGTGTTCAAGGCGCGCTACGTGGCTAGAGGCTTTAGTCAGTGTGAGGGGGTGGACTTCTTTCAGACTTTCGCCCCGACCCCGAAGATGACTACTCTTCGGGCACTTCTACACGTAGCAGCACAGCGTAACTACGAGTTACACTCCCTCGACTTCTCCACTGCGTTTCTTCAGGGTAGTCTACACGAGCAGGTCTACCTGCGCCGACCTCAGGGTTTCACTGGTACCTTCCCTCTTGGGGCTCAGTGGCTCCTGCGGCGCCCAGTCTACGGCTTGCGCCAGGCGCCCCGCGAGTGGCACGACACGCTGCTTGCTACCCTTGTAGACCTGCAGTTCTTTCTGTCATCCGCAGACCCCTCGCTCTTCGTTCGCTCTGGCCAGAATCCGTTCTACATCCTTATTTACGTAGACGATCTGGTCTTTGCCACTGCAGACACCACCGCGCTGGCCTTTGTGAAGGCTGAGCTGCTGAGGAAACACACCTGCACTGACCTAGGAGAGCTGCGCCACTATTTGGGCCTGCAAATCTCCAGAGACAGAGCAGCGCACACCATCACTCTCACCCAGTCACACTTGGTGCGCCAGGTCCTTCAGAGGTTCGATTTTCAGTTCTCTTCCGCACAGCCCACACCTCTTCCAGTAGATCACAGGCTCTCTGCTCCAGTTCCTGAGGAGTCAGCAGAGCCTAGTGGTCCTTACGCAAAGCTGGTGGGTTGCCTCATGTACCTGATGACCAGCACTCGTCCAGATCTCGCATACCCTCTCAGCATCCTGGCTCGCTTTGTGGCCACAGGCAGACACAGACCTCAGCACTGGTTGGCAGCTAAGAGGGTTTTGCATTATCTCGCGAGTACATCAAGCTTGGGGCTAGTGCTCGGAGGACACAGGTCAGTGGTTCTTACTGGGCACACAGACGCTTCTTGGGCAGACGATGTCGAAACCCTTTGGTCCTCACAGGGCTACTGCTTTAGTCTTGCCTCAGGTGCTGTCTCATGGAGAGCTACTCGCTCTTCGTCTGTTGCCCAGTCCAGCTGTGAGGCCGAGATCTACGCCGGTGCCATGGCGGCACAGGAGCTCCGCTGGCTGACCTTCTTGCTCACTGACTTAGGTGAGCGGCCTAGCTCCGCCCCGGTCCTGTACGCTGACAACATGGCCATGATACTCCTGTGTCAGGAGCCTCGACTTGAGGGCAGAGCGAAGCACATCCATCTGCGGTACTTCCTCCTGCGCGAGCTGCAGCAGCGTCGCCAGGCTCGTGTAGTACACTTGGCCTCCGGTGCCAACACAGCTGATATCTTTACGAAGGCGCTTGCGCCTAAAGATCATCAGCGGCACTGCTTACAGCTTGGTCTTGTTCCTGTTGCCTTGCACTTGCTAGGACCTTGACTGTGTACAGACATTGTATATATGTATTACCCACACTGGCCTTGTGGCTTCTCCCAGTGGTTGGGCTAGTAGTGCAGCCCTGGTCTTGCTCCTGTTTTGTCTGTACTCCTATTGACTGGTCTTTAGACCCTTGCCTCAGAGGCTGGACTAGTAACGCCGCCCTGAGCTGTTTGTTCTCGTGTTAGGCACTGCCCCTATATAGTCTAGGAGGGGTGTGTCAAACTTATCTTAGTATGTTACTATAGACTATACAGGTTTGTGCCTTAGGGTACAACTCCCTAGCTTATATTACCTTGTACTCTCCTATTCTAACCCATTATTCAGTTTTGAGAGTATCCCCTGGCCCTCTGCAATCACCTACATGGTCTGCCATTTAAACAAAAAATGCTCTAGTCCACATGCACGTACAGTTACTGCAACAATTTGGTGATGGTTACCACAACAAATGGGTGCCAGTTACCAAACCACTCGGGTGATGGTTACCACACCGATCAGAAGATGGTTACCCTCTACTTGACACCTATGAGCTCCACATCGAATTCCAGGGTTGCGTTGCCTGGAATCTTCGGAGGGGCTCCTCTGAAGCCGTACCTGTGGGGGGAGAGAGAGAGTGGGTAAAGTGGGGTAGAGCAGGGGTGCAGCATTGAGCAGATAGGTACAGTGCATGGCGAGGTGAGGTGTATGGCAACGCCTGGGATCTTGAGACGGGCTCCTCTGAAGCCGTACCTGCAAGGAAACAGAGATGCAGAAGCAGCGCGTAGGCGATTTTTTAGAATTCTCACAACGCAGCACATAGACAGATGGTTACCGTGCAAACAGATGGGGAGAAAGCATTGAAAACAGTCAATGCAACTTGGAGCATGGTAAGAACCACGAGGGCACACATTCTGTAGAGTGCCCCCCATTCACAATCTGTTGACGCAGGCACACCCCACAGAGGATAGGTGGGGCGATGACGGCACTTACCCTAGTGCAGGTGGGATGGTGAGACGGCGCTTGTCACCGATTCGCATTCCTGTGGGGTGGAAACATAGAGATGGTTAAGACACGGGGAGGGAAGGGGACGGGGGAGAAGGAGATGGTGAAGAGTTGCAGAAAATGGTGCGAAAGGGAATGAAGGAGGAATAGCGATAAGAAAGGAACAACAAACGAGCTGAAAGACCAGAGAGAGGACGAAAGAGGACGAGACAAGGGGAGACGAGGAGAGACAAGGGGAGACAGGGGAGACAAGGGGCGACAAGGGGCGACAAGGGGCGACAAGGGGCGACAAGGGGCGACAAGGGGCGACAAGGGGCGACAAGGGGAGACAAGGAGAAAGAGCGAGGGAGGGCCGTATTGGAAAGGGAGACACAGAGGGGTGGAAAGACAATGAAAGACAGATCCCAAGGGGGGCTCTATCCTGCCTACTCCCAGTGAGGGTTTCGAGGCCCAAGGGCCATTCTAGCTTGAGACGTGCTTAAAGAGGGAGCAAAAGGACGACGCATGGTATGGGTACCGCACAAGGTACTGGAATGCTATGTAAACCTTGATCGTGCACAGTCTCCGCACAAACGATAATACTGCATGCTGTTTGCATGCACCAATTTCAGAGTAACCCATGCCATTGCATCCCCACCCCTTTCTTCCCTGCCCTCTCCTTCCCCCTTCGCCACCACTCCCCTCCCCCCCCCCCACACACACACACACGCACCTTTGACGCCGATATCCCAGCCCTTGATCACTTCTCCAACACCTGCACTCAGAGGGCGCAGGGAAGAAGAAGAATTGAGAAGAGAGCAAGGCATGAGAAGGGAGAAGTGGGCACGGGCATAGAAAGGTAGCATGGAAACGGAGGAAAAAAACAAACAAACATACAAAAAAACTCTCAAGGTACAGCCTCAGAATAAAGGCTCACCGAGGCGGAAGGCAAACGGTTGGGGGTGAGTGAGGTTGGAGTCAAAGACCTTCCCAGACTTCTGAAGGCGGCCAATGTAGCGCATCGTGACCTGGGTGGGGGGATGGGGGATGGAGGGTGTTGGGGCAGGGGGATGTGATTTTTTTTTTTCGTTTTGTTTTTCACTCAGATTCTGTCTCTGGCTCCATTCCCTTACCTACCCTTGGAAAACTTGTTTTGATAAAAACAAAAACCAAAAAAAAAAAAAAACCAAAAAAAAAAACAAAACAAAAAAAACCAATCCGCCTTCACACCCCTGGAAGCTGGCTGTTTCGTGACTAAAGATCACCCTCCTCCTATTACCCACCTTCTTCCCCTCTCTCACCTTCTTCCCAGGCTCGGCTACTTTCCCATCCGGCTTCCCCATGGCTAGCTCCTCCACCTCCATGCCCCCCGGAAACACCCGCTTCCTCGTCTTCCCCTTCTTCTCCTCCCCAGCAGCACCCGGCGACCCTGCTGCTCCTGCTGCTACTTGCTTTGCCTTGGCCCATGCTTCCCCCTCCTGCTTCTTCTTCTTCGCCTCTTCTTCCTTCTTTTTCTTCTTCTTCTCCTCCTCCTGCTGCTTCTTCCTCTTTTTCTCCTCCTCTTGCTTCTTCTTCCTCTCCTCTTCCGCCACCTTCTTGTGCTCCACCTGCTTCGCTTTAGCATCCCTGAAGCCGAGAGGAAAAGAGAGGAAAGAGAGGAAAGAGAGGAAAGAGAGGAAAGAGAGGAGTGGGTGAGAAGAGAACAAGGGTAGAGCACGAGGGACGGAGAAAGGAAGGGAGTGAGGGAGGAGGGGGGGGGAGGTAGGGGAGGTGCGTCGAGGGGGAGGATGGCAGGAAGGGGAAAGGTGGCCTTACTTTTGCTCAGCTACGCGACTCTTCTTCCCTGGAGGCACAGCCGCCGCTGCCTCCCCTCCTGCTACTGCCGCCTCTCCCTTCCTCTTCTCTGCCCCTGCCACTGTTGCCCCAGGCACCTTCTTCTGTTGCTGCTGCTGCTGCTGCTTATTCTGCTGCTGCTTTTTGTCGTTACCTGCAGCACCCTTCTTCCCCTTGTCTCCAGCAGCGGCTGTAGCACCGGGCTCCTGAACAAGAGGCTCAGCAGCTGGAAGCGCTGCTACAGCCGAGCCAGCCCCTGCAGCTGCAGTCTTGACTGTCACCTGGTCCTCGTCCGTTATCTCCACTATGCGCACTGTGAGGGAGGGAGGGAGAGAGGGGGGGAGAGAGGGGGGGAGAGAGGGGGGGAGACAACAAGTGGGGCTCAGCTCGGAAAAGCTGGTATAGCCGCGCCCCCCCCTGCCCCCTGCAGCGACAGTCTTGACTGTCACCTGCTCCTTGTCCGTTATCTCCATATGCGCACCGGAGGGAGGGAGGGGCGGGGGGAGGGAGACTGTGGGAAAGAGAGGCTCAATGCTGGGGAGAGCGGCCACAGGCGTGGCACCCACTGCTGCTGCAGTCTTGACTGTCACCTTCTCCTCGTCCAATATCTCCACCATGCGCACTGGAGGGAGAAACAGGATGAACAAGCGAGTGTGCATGGAAAAGATTCACACTTAGCAAAGCAAAAATAAGCGCTGCTGCAGTCTTAATATGAGACTGTCAGTCAGCTACTCCTCCTCGTGTGTAATCTCCATCTCCACTATGCGCACTGGAGGACAGTAAAGAAAGAGGCGCACTAGTTGGTGTTTCCCAGCACCACTCCCTCCATCTCATCCCCGTACGAGTGAACACCACTTGGGTGCCATAGGTCTTTACGAGGCAGCAACTTTAAAAACGATGCTGTTGGCCAGCACCACTCCCTCCATCTCATCCGCTTTCTCGTCCTCCTCGTCAATAGGGGCGGACAACGATGGTCCTTGACTATGTCCCCTCAACCAAGGCCACACGCCCAGTACACAACATACCTCCCGTCTGGTTGCTATTGGCCAGCACCACTCCCTCCATCTCATCCTCCTCCTCCTCCTCGTCTTGATCCTCCTCCTCCTCGTCTTGATCCTCCTCATCCTCCTCGGATTCATCATCGCTGTCCGCCACCAGCGCCCTCTGCCACTCCCTGCCGTGCACAGCCAATCAGGAGCAGTGGGAAAAACAACAGGCGATTCAGGTCACCTGATCGCCCAACCTCATTCTCATCATCCTCAGACTCATCATCGCTGTCGTCCACCAGCGCCCTCTGCCAAACTCTGCCATGCACAGCCAGTCAAACGCAGTCAAACACAGTCAAACACAGGCAAGCGCAGTCAAACGCAGGCAAACACAGTCCGCCGCTTCAGAAAAAGGCCGGACAAACGGTGCCAGGAAAACTGCAGCCTGTGATAGGTTTTTGTGGATTCTAAAAAAGCTAACAAGGTTGTTGCGAATCTAAAAAAACATACACAATCAATCAGCAGCCGCCCAAGTGTGCATGGGATAAAACCGGCTGAAATGGAGCTACGGCTGAGTTGACTCACTTTTTAGAATTCTCAAATCGGGACACACCGGCCTGCTAAAATTTTGCTGACTTCTCACATGGAACTTACAACGGAAGGCTCGCAAGGTGTTCATCCTCCTCCTCAGTATCCACCTCCTCCCCCTCCTCCTCATCCTCCTCCTCCTCTCCCTCCTCCCCTTCCTCCTCCTCATCCCCCATCACCCCTTCCGCCATGTAATACCCCGACAGGTGCACCGAGCAATCTGCATTTTTCTCTCCCTCCCCTGCCCCCGCCACCACCAGGCTGATCTCAAACGGTTCGTCCATCATCAGATCCAACGGACAGCATTCCACGGCGCCGCCCGCAGTCAGCGAGCAGATCAGGATCGGACGGTCAGCATCAGCAGCAGCACCAGCACCCACGTGGTGCCCCCTCTTTCCCTTGGGCTCACAGCACCCCTTCCCCGCACACCCAGTCTTGCTCCCGGGACTGCCCTTTGCACTCGCAGGGCTGCCCTTTCCGCCTGCTGGGCTGCCCTTCCCACCAGGACTTGCTTTTCCCCCCGGGCTTCCCTTGGCCTTGGGGCTTCCCTCCGCCTTCCCCGCATTTCCATCTGCTGCAGCATCCTCGCCCTCCTTGCCCTCCTCTTCCTCCCCCTCCTCCCCCTCCTCCTCGTCCTCTTCTGGCTCTAGGATCTTCACTCGCACAAATACGCGCTTGTTGAGGGGCGCGTCAGGGCCCAGAACAGCCTGGGGGGAGGGCACAAGGTAAGGGGAGCACGGGCGGGCGGGTGGGTGGATGGGTGGGTGGGAGGTGGGCATGCAACCTCGTCTCTAGCACCTTGACTCGCACCGGCACTTGTTGAGGGGCGCCCGTCAGGGTTTAGAGCAGCCTGCGGGGGGTGAGGAGAACGAAAGGGGGGACAACGGGAGCGCGGTGAGGCGCCAGGGTAAGGTGGGTCGGGGGTGGTAGGGGGGTGTGCGATCCCCAAGGCTCTAGAGAGATGAGAGACGCTAGAGAGGTGTGAAACGCTAGTTTCAACGGGAAAGCAGACTATGCGTAACGATATCCCCCAGCTGTGCAGGCTCGCCAGAACGGGTTCAGGGTTTTGAAGGGAGTTTAAAACGGACAGAAGGGTTTTGAAGGGTTTAGGAGGGTTTGGCAGGGAAGGCGATACGGAGGTGTTACGAGGCGAGGTGGTTCGTCAAGCATCGACACGGCACACGCGGAGGAGGAAGCTGACGCAGACCAAGCTGGCGACAGTAAGTTCAGGATCTAGCAACCTTAGGGAGGTTGCACCTTGGGGAGGTTCTACCTAAGGGAGGTTCTACCAACGGTAAAATCTACCTGGGAGATGTGGAGCGGCCCTCCGGGACCATCTTCCGGGTCGCACACGATTGGTTCTCCCTGCTTCACCTCCACGCCTGCAGCACGCGATTGTAACGAGAAGGGGAAGGGAGGAAGCACTTCCGATTAAACGAGAATCTTGAGGAAAGAGGTTCGACGGTTGCTAGAGGTGCTACGCGACAGGGTGGTCTGTGGAGCGTCGGCGCAGCCTTTGAGTCGACTCAGACGCAGTCTGTGGAGCGGCGGCACAAACATGCGCGGACGCAAACACGGGAAGAGGGAGCGGACGCGGACGCGGATGCGGCACAAACAAGCACGGCAAACGTGCGCACGGACTAAGGGGTTGATCGGCGAGGGAATGACGGCTAGGCAACGAGGCAAGGAGGAAAACGGCTGATCGGCCTAACATCAGCCTCATATCGGTCGCATTGGCATAAAGCCGATCAGTGATCCTCGCTATTAGATGCACGCATGCGGCCGAAGAGTGATCGGCACGTACCCCAAAAGAGCATCGTGCTGTGGCGTGCGCCGATCTGCCGTGCTGCGCTACGGCTCTGCTCTGCTCTGATCTGTAGCCTCCGAGTCAAGGCCCCGAGGTGGAGAAGGCGAGAAGGCTGAAGCTACCGTGAGTCGGGCTGAGGGATGGCAAGAGTAAGAACTGATAGTGGGTCTAACACACTGAAGAGAAAGACGTGCAGTGAAGACTGGATGGAGAGGTTTTAGAGTTTAAACGGAAGGTTGGCGAGGAGCGTGCGACGGATCGCCGAGAGCTTGCGGCCTTCGCGAAGCTTCTATGGGGATTATGCGGGGTGCTGCGATCAGCTGAGAAATCTTCGTTATAGGCAGGTAGGTATGTTGTGCTTCGACATGGTACTTCATAGTTGAAGATCTCATTCCCATTACATAATCTGATTCAAGTTAATCCTACCATTAAACGATATTTTGTCTTTAATGATATTATCTGAGCATTCAAAATGGCCTAATGATACCTCCATATAGCAAACATCATAGAGTTCCAGCGGCAATCAAGCAAGAGACAGTATCAGTCCAATTGCATTTATTTGATACCGACCAGGGTCCTAAATAGCAGACTTTTTTTGTCTGATTGTCTGATTTTCAGACTGGTTTTTAGGGGTTTTGTCTGATTTTTCAGACAGGGGCTTGCAAAAAATCTGATTGGACTAGACAAACTTTTCAGATTTCTCTGAAATTTTCAGACTAGGTGTACCAGTTTCTCTGATTTTTAGACAAGTCTTTTGAGTTTATCTGAAACAAAGACATACAGGTGTAAGGTGCTCCCATGCGAATATTCCCTTTTTCGCGTCGCCACACGTTGTCCCCCCTCCGCATCCTTGGCATACGTGAGCCTTCCCGGATGTGGCTAGAGCACATGTGATTGGATACTTTACGGTATTGCAGCAAAGCAGACCAGTCAGAGCCCTTTGCGGCGCCTTACTTGGGTCTCCAGCGCACGGTGGGGATCAGATCATGCCTCACCCCATGCAGTGAACTTGCTGCACCATACGTGCACCGCTGTACGTCATCCCGCCCATCACGACGCGTCGCCCCGCCCATCGTCTCGTCACTTGCCAGTCCGTGCCGCCATGGCACTTGACCAAGAAACCCCCTCCCCAACCGCTTCTTGCTCCTTTCGTCTCCACCTGTTTCTTCCATCCACTTCTGTTATGTGTTGTTGTCGTGCGTTATTCTGCTCGTGTTCTGTGTCAGGTTTAGAAACCCCCCTCGAAGTAGGGCCAACATGGCTGTCGTTGTCGAGGCTGACGGCGACGATCAGCCAGAAGGGTGTAGCGAATCCCCGCCTCCCATGCGAGGCCTAGACTTCCTGCGTTCAAAGCTGTCGCGCACCCCTGCTGCAGATACCTCCCGTCGCCCAGCCGCTATCGACCCTATGCTTGCGCCTTCCTCAGCCGAGCCCTCGCCATGGCCCGTGCCACTAGCATCCCCTCCTTTGTCGCCTGCGCGTTCGTCCAGTCCGTCCTTGCCTCAGCCCTCGCAGACGCCCACACCATCGTCGGCGGTCCGCTTGGAAACCGATGCCGAAGCATCAGCTCGCTCCTCCGCCAAGAAGCGAAAGTATCGGCAGGCTTCTCTGCCGTGGTTCAAGGGCGCCACATCCAAGGCTCCTGACTCTGCACCGAGTTCAGCGCCCGGCCCGTCTACCGCAGAAGATATGGAGGACGATGATGCTGACGACGACGAGGAGGACGCAGAAGTAGCAGAGCCGCTGAAGGTCGCTAAAGCACGTGAGGCAGAGCTGAAACACAAGTTTGAAACCGAGTGGTCGAAGAAGTTTCCGTGGCTCGTCCTCACCAAGACCGATCTTAGTCGCACGTCCATCAAGTGCAGCATCTGCACGGCGCACCGGTCGGAGAACTGCAAGTACGGCAAAGGCGGACAGGGCGGAGCAGACATCCAGGTGCAGACGATGCACAAGCACCAGCGTACCAAGAAGCACCAGGCCGCTGTCGAGAAAAAGGAGGCTAAGGAGAGGGCCGAGACGAAGCAGAAGCGCATCGAGGATTTCTCGAATGGCGACGTCGAAGGCAGACGTATCATTCGGTTGTTGATGGCGATGTTATTCATCTGCAGAACTGACGCACCGATCTTGATGTATGTTTCTCTGGTGAACTTCATGGCCTCGCAGGGTACGCCAGACTTGGGCGAGAGCAACTACGGCACCTACCACACAGAGTATGTGTTTTGGATTTTGCAAATCTCCCATTGTTCGAACCGCTAGAGTCAACTAATGCTTCTCGTTTCTTGCCATGTGTTACAGGTACGGATTCAGGCAGCTGACAGAGGCGACGGCGAATTACCTTCGGCAGAAGCAGCTCGAGCACATCTTGAAGAGTCATTTCATCGGTCTCAGCGTCGACGAAAGTACCGATCGACGGCGCGGCAAGCACTTAATTGTCTACATGACATTCGTGAAGAACGACAGGGTTGTCACTGAGTTTTTTGCCTTACTCACTGTGCATAAGTGCGATGCTGGATCCCTCTTAGCTATTTTGCAGACCCATCTCGAATCGGCAGGTGTCGACATCAATAAGGTTTCAGGCATCAGTACGGATGGGGCCAGCGTCATGAGGGGGGATCGACAGGGTCTGGTTGCCCGCCTTTGGCAGCTCGTGCCGCACCTCGTCTCTGCTCACTGCATTGCTCACAGGTGAGGCTTAGTGCAGCACCACTACCTTGGCAGGTTTCCCGACTTCATCGAATAGTTCTGATTTATGTTTCGTGGTTTTGATGTATGATGTTCCGTGTTTGAGCAGGGAGGCGTTGGCAGCTAAGGACGCTGCCAAGAAATTTTCCGACTTCAACATGATCGACGACATCATCAGGATGCTGGCCGAGATTTTGGGACGCTCCTCAGTGTGGCACGACCGCTTCAGAGAGCTGCAGGAGATCCTGATGAAGACCTTCCTGGAGATGCAGTCTATCTTCGCCATCCGCTGGCTTTCACGCGCCAAGGCAATACTCCGCTTGGTCGCAGTTCTTCCCGCCGCCATCCTGCTGCTGCATGAGTACGACCGGGATTCGTACGAGGTTGCAAGGGGCTATAAATTCCACTTCTGCCTCTTCTTCCTCGCCGACCTGCTGACAGAGCTCAACCGCCTTAACAAGAAGTTTCAGCGTCGCCAGGTAACGTATACACTAACGCTTCAGATGGCGCACATACTTTCGATCGCGCACATGCATGTTCTATGCTGTGCTAAACATGCCTCGGCTATGTGATTTTCTCGTGCTACTTGCAGGTCGACATCACCAGGGTGGGAAGCATGGTGCAGAGCACCACCGAGGTGATTCGCGCACGGTACATCAATTGCGACTCTTTTTTCGGCGGCCCCAGAAGCAAGCACCTGCACAAATTCTTGACATGCCATGAGCCTGAAGGTCGTGTGGTCGTCGAGGGGGAGGCGAAGGATGGCGAGCCGGTCCGCCACGAGTACATCCTTCACACGAAGTCGATTTCGGACTCGGAGTTCAAGAGCGACAAGAAGTCTTGCATCATGTTGTGCCGTGCCATGGCCCAAGAGACGATCGACTGCATCGAGTCAAGGTTCAGCGACCTGCAGCAGCTCGGAGGAACCAAGCTTTTTCTCTCAAGCGCCTATCCCACTGCGCGATCGGAACGCGAGAAGAAAGCGCTTGAGTGGCTGGCGCTTTTGAAAAAGTTATTCAACAACAAGCCCCTGCCTGGTAAGTTCTCGAGACCAACATACTTTTCCAAGTGCTTTTCTGGATTACCCTTCTAATGTTTACTCAGTGTGCCTGTTATGTGAGTGCGATGCCATGCGTTATACTCACACTTTGCTGATTCCCTCCCCTCGCAATGTACCCCCCCCCCCCCTCCCCCTCCCAGGCGTTAGCTGGAAGCGCGCCAAGGCAGAGCTGACCTCATTCGTCAACATCATGGACGCGCATCACGGGGAGATGGCGTACCACGTCAGCCTGCGGCACATGCTGGGGACACGCGACTGGGAAGATGCCTATCCCAATCTTGTTAAGATTTGGGTGGCAACCGCCGTGCTCCCGTTGAGCACGGTGGAGTGCGAGCGGGGATTTTCCCTCCAGAACGTCATTAAGAGCTGGTCTCGGGGCAACCTCTGTGATGCCCGCTTGGGCGACCTTGTGTGCATTTCCCTCCTGCAGGATTACGACATGCAGTGGGATGAGATCGTTGACATGTGGAAGGCCGCCAAGCCAAGGCGGCCTTGCCAGGATGCAATTGCCCCCATTCTTGCCCCAATGTCCAGGAAGAAGAAGAGCAAGGCCGAGGCAAAGAAGAGAAGGAAGATCGCTGAGCTCGAGGCTCAGATCAGGAAGTGGAAGGGGATGGCTGTGGTTGAGGATGGGCTGGAGGAAGGAGACGTGGAAGAGGAGGTGGAGGAGGAGGTAGAGGAGGAGGAACTGACGGAATTTGATGATGACGAGTAGGTACCGTAAATGTAGGGAGGGCGGGAATGGCCATCTGCCTGCATGCTCGTTCGTTTGTAACTTGCAAGTAGTACTAACTTAATCAAAGTGCTTAACTGTATCTTCTATTGTCAAACACTAACAGAACAGACTATGCAGTAGAATTTCTCTGTATGTTCAGACAAATATTCTCAAATTCTCTGGCAAATCAGACAACTTTTTCAAAATTCTCTGATCCTGAAAAGCGAATCAGACAAAGTGCGCAGAACGTGTCTGATTGCTCAGACACGTTTTTTTCCAAAAGAGAACCCTGATACCGACACATCCACACAGCCTAATTTATGTCAATCTTGTGACTCTTCTTTCGCTGATGTACCTACATGTGAAGTTTACTTCGTCTTACTACAATTTTGGGTGCGGGCTGACAACACTTGTATTCTGTATCGGCGGCTCTGTACGGAGGAAAATTCATTGTCGCATTTGACAGCAGAGCGGACTTCATTCAGACCATTCAACTTGCTCTAGCAGAGCGGAATTCTCTTGGGATTTCCATTTTCCCGCTTTTACTCTGAGCTGTTTTACAGTCTCCTGGTTATGGCGTCTCCGCCGATCCTCGACTGGCAGTTAGACGAGGATAGGTTCGTGTCGCTTCTGGCGAAGCTTGTAAACGAGGCGCGATACCTTCAGGTGAGGAGACGAGCTCTCGTGCTGCTGCCAGTCGGGATAATTAGAAGCGATTCTGAGTCCTCGGTTTCACTGCGACATGTATCGCTCTTGTTTTCCTTATTGTTTTCCTTATTGTTTTCCGTTCCGCTTGCGTAGTTTAAAACCGCCGTGCCAAAATTGCCGACCACCCTTACCCCTCCACCAATCGGAACGGACACCCTATACCAACTTTCTTACGGATGAAACTCTTGGCACGGCGGTTTTAACAGCTTCCGTAGTAGTTGTTCCCATGGCCATCATCTTCAGTTTCTCCAACATACTCTTTATAAACATTCTGCTCGGCATCGTCATGTTCTTCCAGCGTGGTCCTTATCTTGAAACTGAGTCAACCTACCACGATTCAATTCATTTGATCGCATTCCGTTGTGTGACTGTATCGAATTACCCTCTGGCAGAACAACCCTCCCGAGTGTGTGCCCAAGGAGGACCGCGCGGTGCGACATGTCTTGGACGTGCTTCAGCCCTACAGGTATTATAGCCCTGCATGTCTGGTCTGGCAGGGCTGTCCGTGATTATCACTCCTTCTAAACGTGCTTTAGCCCCACAGGGGCCTCTAGTGATGCTCCTCTGTTGTCGTCCTCGTTATACTATTTTCCGCTGTTTCCATTCGTATTCCTGCAATCATAGCTGTTGCATTCAAACGCCTTCAACTGTGAGTTTACTCGTTGGCATATCCGTCATCATATCCTTCCATGTGCTAGTGTGCGCCTGCACACCAATCTCTTCTTCTATCGTTGACATTAGAAATCCCGGCCAGCGCTTGCTTGATGCTGAACAAGTCTCAACAGTTCCCCTGGGCGAGCGTCTGCTTGATGATGGTTTACTGTTGAGTTTGGAAAGGCTGCTTCTTGTGGTTGCTTACATTCATGCATCCTTCAAAGAAAATTTCCTTCCCATTCGCCCAAAATCCCTTCCGATTCTTCATCCTATCTAGTGAGGAGGAGGGCGGGCCTCTGGAGATCCGCCACGTGAGTTATGTGGAGGGCAGGGGCAATCTGATCATCACTTACAAGGGCACGGATCCGTCCAAGATCCTCTCATTTGTTGGATGCCACATGGACGTCGTTACAGCCAACCCCGAGGACTGGGTATGCGGTTACTACTGTACCTGCCACTAGTGTACTTGGAAGGTACCACGCTTCGTGCTGCTATCCCCCGCGTCATGCGCTTGTTGCACGGACGTTATCACAGCCAACCCTGACGACTGGGATTGCGGTTAATATTTTGCCTGTTACTATTCTGCCTGTTAATAGTCTCCCTGTTTCTAATTTTCCTGTCATTATCCGTCCTGTCATTATCCGTCCTGTCATTATCCGTCCTGTCATTATCCGTCCTGCCATTATCCGTCCTGTCATTATCCGTCCTGTCATTTTTTTCCCTGCCACTGCACTGCCTGCCTCCTACCATAGCACCCGATACTATCCGCTCCTTCCTTGCCTGCCACATGGAGAGCTGTCAACTTGAAGGTGGATCATGACATGCCTATCTGTCACAGCCAGCCCGACAAATATTAGAGGCACCACCGATTGCCTGCGCCGGGTGGCGGTGGTGATGGACCCCTGATCTTCTCTCTGCTTACCCTCCTTCTCCTCTCTCTCTATCAGAACGACCCTTTCACCTTCTCCCAAGACGGAGGCAAGCTACAAGGCAGAGGCACCACGGATTGCCTTGGGCCACGTGGCGCTGGTCACAGCGCTCACATCCTCTCTCTGCTTCCCGTCCTTTCGCCCATCTTTCCTCGGGACTTCAATCACTTCACTTTCTCAAAGGTCTCGCTCGTGTGACAATATCCGTAGGTGTGTTTGAGTCAGACTCAACAATCACCTCCCTTTCGCCCACCCTTCCTCAGGACTTCGACCCCTTCACCTTCTCTCAAGACGGGGATAAGCTGAGGGGACGCGGCACCACGGACTGCCTGGGCCACGTGGCGCTGGTGACGGAGCTCATGCGCCAGCTGGCAGTGTGCCGACCGGAGCTGGGGGCTACAGTGGTGGCGGTATTCATTGCGAATGAGGAGAACGCTACAGTGAAGGACATTGGGGTGGATGGGCTGGTGAAGGCGGGGCTGCTGGACCACCTCAAGAACGGACCCCTGTGAGTCATTCACTCTCCGCAGTTCACTCACCATTGTCTTCCACCACCTCTCGCGTGCCATGCCACCACTGTAGCACTACTGTGTTCATTGCGACCGAGGAGAACAGCACTACAGTGAAGGATGTCAGGGTGAATGGGCTGGTGAGTCTATTTTTAGGCGCCTCAAAAATACTCCTCACGCTCGGTGTTTCATGGCGAACGAGGAGAACAACGCTACAGTGAAGGAAATGGCTGTGGATGGGCTGGTGAAGGCTGGGTTGCTGGCTGGACCACCTCACGACTGGATCGCTGTGAGCCATGCTGTCACGCACCGTTGTCACCCACCACCTGTGTTGGGTTGTGGCGATGCTGTTTCCCAGCCAACGAGGAGAAAGCTACAGTGACTGTTAGTGGCGTGGATGGGCTGGTGAAGGCGGGCCGCTGACCGCCTCAAGAACGGGCCCCTGTAATGTCGGCCCTGCCGCTCTTTGTGTCATCTTGTCTCTTCTGCAGCCTCGGTACAAAGAGATGGCACCAAAGGTACTCCCTCCTCTCCATCGTGTGCTCCTATGTTGGAATATACACTCTGTAGGCTTAGGGTATTGCGTATATACGCAATATGCTGATATGCTTGGAATACGCGATACGCAAAACCAGGGCTGTCCGACGAAAATAAAAAATGGCCTTTTTTTTTTTTTTTTTTTTTTTTTTTTCCCCGCGAAGTTGCGACTTCGCGAAATTTTTTCGTCCATGTGTTTTCGCCCATACCCCAGTCTGCGCTGGACGTGTTTGAAAGCCATCCCGTGTTTGTCGTTCAAATCTCAGGTCTGAAGCGAAACGGTGGTGTGCTTAGCTAGGTGGCAGAGATTGCGCGAGTTACGGTGCTTAGCTGTTTGGTCTTCTCGCAAAACGGGAGGGAGGTGATGGGGGGAGAGTGGAGCATTTGTGAGGAAAGGTTGGAGTTTGTAGATGAAGGGGCGTTCAGTGCAGAGAAAGGGAGGGAGTTGGTTGGAAGCCAATTTGACTTTGTAGGTGGGGGGGTTGAGTGCTGTGAAAGGGAGGCAATTGGTGGGTCAAAATTCGACCCCCAAGAAAACGCCTCTCATTTGAGAGTCGCGTTTTCAGAAACCCCAGCCTAGCCGCCCCCATCCTGGCTTCCTTGCTCCCCCCTGGTTTTGTTTCCCTGCCCGAGCAAAAAAATTAGCCTGCCCGAGCATGCGTATTCCTGCTGTATTGGACCCCAAACCCATGCGTTTAGCGTATATACGCTGGCGTATAATACGCAATACGCTTATATTCCAACATAGGTGTGCTCTACAATCTCGCCCCTCTTCCCCCCCTCCACCATTCCCCCTCCGTCATGCGTGCCACGTGGCAGCTTCTGGGTGGACACAGCGGACAAGCAGCCGTGCATTGGCACGGGGGGCATGCTGGCGTGGAAGCTCAAGGCGTACGGCAAGCTCTTCCACTCGGGCCTGCCCCACAAGGTACTGGTATCCCTTGTGTGGAACATTTTGTGGCTCTACTCCCAAGCAGCCGTGCATTGGCACGGGGAGCACTAGCAGAGACCCAGAGCCGCTTTTAACGCGACTTCCCCTGCCATCTGCCCTCCAACAACCCCAACCCCAACCTTAACCCCAACCCCAACCCACTCCAATCCTTCGTACTTACAGAGCTCTGATAGGTTTTTGAGAATGATGAAAATCCTGGTAGATCTCTACCAGCAACTCCATCCCGATCAGGCTGTGAACCGGGTAGAGCTCGCCATGACAAGGTGACTTCCGAGTCGACTCAAAAGAGGTGACTTCTTCCGAGTCGTCTCAAATGAGGTGACTTCTGAGTCGACGCAAAAGAGGTGACTTCTTCCGAGTCGACTCGAAAGAGGTGACTTCTGAGTCGACTTCCCTCCCTGTTTACACACGCATGCGGCATGCCCCTGTTTACACACGAAACCCTTCCGGTCGTTCACCCCTACCAGGCCATCAACCCCATCGAGCTCGCCATGACAGCACTCACAGAGATCCAGAGCCGCTTCTACCGCGACTTCCCTCCCCATGAGATGGAGAAAACCTACGGGTTTGCAACACCTTCCACCATGAAGCCAACACAGTGGTCATGTGAGTGATGCTACGGATGTGCGCTGAGCATTGTGTGGATATAGTTGAATGTGTCTGGTTTTAATCACTTCCCAAATAATTAACACAGCCTGAGTCATGCTATGGATTTGGCGCCGAGTAATGTGTGGATATAGCCGTGTGCGCTTGCATGCAGGCTTGCATGCATGCGTGCATGCATGTATCGTGTATGCATGGCATGGGAACCACCACTGGGTGCGTTTGATCCACTGCCATACATACATTTCATTTGCACTGCCTAGTCCTAGTTCCGCTTTCCGCACTAAAGTTCCGCTTTCCGCACTATAGTTCCGCTTTCCGCACTATCGTTCCGCTTTCCGCACTATCTTTGAGGTGCCTCAAAAAGATCCACTGCCTCGTCCTAGGTCCTGTCTATGCGCAGCGAAATGTCAGCTCTTCCCCTTCTGATTCCACCATTTGCTACCCGGGAGTCGGGACCACCTAGCGCCTGGTGACTTTTGAGTCGACTCAAAAGTATCCACTGCCTAGTCCTAGCTCCTCTTTTCGCGCTGCAAAGTGTCTGCTCTTCCCCTTTGAATTCCACCATTTGCTACCCGGGGCTACCTAACGCAACGCCTGCCTCGTTTGTCCATTTCTGTGCCGGCATCAGATCCGGGCGGCAGTGTGAATCAAATCCCAGGAGAATGCACCCTAGCAGGGGATTGCAGGTAAGAGGGCCGCTTTGATTGGTCATCCCATCCCATCCCATCCCATCCCATCCCATCCCATCCCATTCCATCCCACCATCCCATCCCATCCCATCCCATCCCACCATCCCATCCCATCCCATCCCATCCCACCATCCCATCCCATCCCATCCCATCCCATCCCACCATCCCATCTCATCGCATGTCAGGGTGCCTTACTTACTCCGTGCTTTCAGTCTCATCTCTGCCATTCCATTTGTCCCTCTCTGTCCCACTTTCCGCCATCCCTCACTTTTGCCCATCCTCCTGCGCCCTTGTGTCTTCCCCGCGTCCCCCTGTCGGACTTACTTGCCGTTGCCCATGTTTGTTCCTTCAACCATCCTTTTTCTGTTTGCCGCTTGGACATCCTTGGCCAATCCTTCCCCACCCCATCTTGCTTCATCCTGCCACGTGGCTTGGTGCTGTCGATGCATGTTCGTTCGTACGCTGCCCTTGGCGATTCCCTCGTGCCAAACGACATCAGGATAACACCCTTCTATGAGTACGTGTTCTTCAACTGCTTCAAACCCTTCAAAACACTCTATAACTCTGCTTGAACCTTGAACCTACAGTCCGTGTTCGTTCTATACTGCCCTTGGCAATTTCTGAGAACCTACAGTCTGATTGTTCGCTTCCTTCTCCGCTGTTCCATTCGACCTGAGAGCGAGCATGTGTCGTAGCTTCTGTGCTTTGTAACAATGTTCTTGATCCCAGCGGGCTTCCAACTGCATTCTGCCCTTGTGAACGGCGAGCCCTGGGTGGTAGTAAAGCAAACCAAGCTATCAGCCCACTGTCAGCAACTCAAGTGTGTGGGGAAGGTGGCAGAGGGAGTGAGCTCACCAGCAACTCACCAAGTTGCTGGTGGCAGCGAATCTCGGGGATTACCAGACCACTCATCTCCGCGTCCTTCCCCATCTCGGTTTGAGGTGCCTCAGGAACGATCACACCACTCGTCTCCGCGTTTTCCCCCAGCTCTGTCTTTCCATCACGGACGACGTAGCGGCCAAGCTGAGGGCGTGTGTGGCAGACAGGCATCAGTGCCAATCTGGCCACGCTCTAGGGTGTTGCTGGTGTCAACTCTGCCCAGTCTTATCCCCATCCTCCCTCGTCTATGTCTCTCTCCAGTGTGGACGACGTAGCGACCAAGCCGAGGCGGTAAATGGCAGGCATCAGCGCCAATCTGGCAATCTGGCCATACTCTAGGGTGTTGCTGGTGTCAACTCTGCCCAGTCTTATCCCCATCCTCCCTCGTCTATGTCTCTCTCCAGTGTGGACGACGTAGCGGCCAAGCCGAGGGGGTAAATGGCAGGCATCAGCGCCAATCTGGCAATCTGGCCACGCTCTAGGGTGTTGCTTGAGTCAACTCAACCCATTCCTCTCCCCATTCTTCCCCATGTTTGTCTCTTTCCATAGTGGACGAGGTGGCAGCCTAGCTCAGGGAGTACGTGGCGAACATCAGAGCCACGTAGCACGTTCTCTGTAATTGCTAAGTCATCTCAGACCACCTTCCCTCCCTGCCTTTCTCTCTCCAGTGTGGATGAGGTGGCAGCGAAGCTCAGGGAGTACGTGGCAGGCATCCGCGCTAACCTAAGCACGATCTGCGCTGTTGATTAAGAGGACTCATTCCATTCCCCCCCCCCCCACCATTCTTCCGCATATATCATCTCTCCAGTGTGGACGACGTGGCAGCGAACCTCAGGCAGTACGTGGCAGACATAAGCGCCAACCTCTCAGTTGTTGCTTGAGTCAACTCAGCCCAGCTTTCCCCCATTCTGCCCCATCTTTTCGTCTCCAGTGTGGACAAGGTGGCAGCGAAGCTCAGGGAGTACGTGGCAGACATCAGCGCCAACCTGAGCTCGCTCTCAGGCCCCGGGCCTTGCTCAAAATTCGTTCTGCCCGAGGAGAATCTGACGGGCAGGTGAGCGGACATGTCAAGAGACCAGTGAAGTTGGAAGGGGATACGGGAGGGAGGAGCGAGAGAGCGTGGGGAGAACGGGTGGGAGAATGTGGGAAGGATGAGTAAGCATGTAGATAGATGGTCTCTTTCCTAAGAGTGCATGCGCATTTCTCGCCAGCCATTTATGAGGCTCTTTTAAGAACGTCCCTTCAGCTGTTGAGGTGTTTCCAAAGTTGAGATTTTCTGTGCACGTCTCCTCGCCAGCCGTTTGCGGGGGGCCTCAGAAATTGTGTTGCCGGGTCCCCTTCGTGAGTCCCCTGGGAATGCCACCACCACAATGCCGCCATCAAAATGCATGTCATGTCATGTCATGTCATGTCATGTCATGTCATGTCATGTCATGCCATCTTGCTATTGCCACCTCAGGAAGACAGCAATTAGCATCCTCTTGTTGGAGCCATGTGTCTGACCCTCTGCTGGTCCGTTACACCTGGTGTTCCATGCTTCCAACTCTACATCTAAACCCTAAACTACCACCCTCGTTTCCTCCCCTCATTTCCCACCCTCTCCTTCTCCACCTCCCCCCAATCCATGGGCCACGTTGGCTATGGCTGGCTCCACGTGGAGAAAGCAGAAGATTCCCCCTCCCCCCTACCCATCCTCCTACCCTTCCCCCTTCCACTGCGCCTCCCCCTCTGCCTCCCCCTCTGCCCCCCCCCTCTACCCCTCCCTTCCCCCCTGGCCCCCATCAAAAGCTTGAGCTGGAGATAGCAGAGGCGCCAATGACGGGCGTGACGCCTAACCTGGGTTTCACCTTCCCTCGCTCTAATTTCCTTCCCTCCCTCTACCCTCCCCTCCCAACCCCATCCCCGCCCCATCCCCGCCCCATCCCCAACCCATCCCAAACCCATCCCCAACCCATCCCCAACCCATCCCCAACCCCCAGGCTGGAGCTGGAGATAGCAGAGGCGCCAATGAAGGGCGTGGCGTGTAACCTGGACTCGCCTGGTTACCATGCGCTGGTAACCGCAACGAAGGAGGTGATGGGCGAGTGCAAGCCGTACTCCATCACAGGATCCCTGCCGTTGATTCGCGATCTGCAGGAGGCTGGATTCGATGTGCAGACCATGGGATACGGTGAGATCAGATTTGATTTGATTTGGTTTCGTCTACACCTCATCTGGCTTTGGAGAACCCGAATCTACCACGCAACGCGATCCAGAAGCGTGAAGGGTCAAAACCTGGGGCAAAACAGACTCTAACGTGTAAAACGGTTATGCGTAGTAGCGGGAACATGAGGTTAAAAAACCCGTGGCGAGTCCACGAGGGTAGATCACCTCATGTCACGCTGAAGCTGTTTTAACAAGCAATTTGCGAGATGAAACGCAGCACAACCACACAAGTGCAACCAGGCTCTGCTGTTCCTGGGTCTTCTCTGATTGGTGGCTGGTGTATTACCACAATCAGAGGTAAAGACCCGATACAGATTCCCTCGTTACGCGCTTTGAGGGCTGTAGTAAACAAGGCCACATAATCAGAGAATGTTAACAACTTCCACATCATTTTTGTAGGTCTCCTGTAACCCTCTCTATTGTAACCGGGATCATGTGTAGTTGGAGTAACTGAATCTGTTGCTTGCTGCAAGCCACGGGATATGGTGAGAGAAGGTCAGCCAGGCTGTGGTTTGCTTGCTACTCCCATAGTGTTACCATGCCATTCTGTTACATTCTTTCCCTGATTGCTTACACAGTTTGGGGGCCTCACAATTCTATGTTCTCGTGCCATTAGCATGTGAGTATCACTGTATGTCCTTCGTCCCCCATAACAGGTGTTATGGCCACTTATCATGCTCGTAACGAGTATGCTCTGCTATCCGACTTCAAGCTTGGCTATCGTGTCCTTACAAACCTCATACATCGCCTCTCATGACGTTGTCGGGCTGAGCTGAAATAGTATGTACAGGATTGTGTCTTCCAAGGAAATGCATTGTCAAATGTATTGTCAAATGTAACTTATGTAGCTACTGTAGACTATACTGGATTGTGCCTTAGAGGGTACAACCCCTAGTCTATATACCCCTGTATCCTTCTATTCTACTCAATTACTACTCATTTTAATATGGTATCATAGTAGGTTTGGCCCCCCACCTAGCCCACCCACGCTTCCGCCCTAGGCCCTAGCCGCCGTCATGCCCGCCCCTAGCCGTTGCGCCCGTCCCTAGCTGCCGTCTCGCCCGTTCCCAGTCGCCGTCGCGGCTGTTCCTAGACGCTGTCTCGACCGTTCCTAGCCGTCGCGGCTGTCCCTGGTCGTCTCGCGGCCGTCCCTAGCAGCCGTCGCGGCCGTCCCTAGCCGCCGTCTCGCGGCCGTTCCTAGCTGTCGCGAACATTCCTAGCCGCTGCCGTGGTCGTTCCTAGCCGTCGCGACTATTCCTAGCCGCTGTCGCGGCCGTTCCTAGCCGTCGTCGCGGTCGTTCCTAGCCGCCGTCGCGGTCTTTCCTAGCCGTCGCGATCGTTCCTAGCCGCCGTCGCGGCCGTTCCTAGCCGTCGCGAACGATCCTAGCCGCCGTCGCGGTCGTTCCTAGCCGTTCTCGCGGCCGTTCCTAGCCGTCGCAGTCGTCCTTAGCCGCCGTCGCGGCCGTTCCTAGTCGTCGCGGCCGTTCCTAGCAGCCGTCGCGATCGTCCTCCCCGGCCCCCTGCGCCGTTGAGTACGTCCCTAGCCGGCCCCGTGTGCCGTCGCGCCCGTCCTAGCCGGCCCTGCTCGCCGTCGCACCTGCCCCTAGCCGGCCCCTTCTCGCCGCCGCGCCCGTCCTGGCTGTTCCTCCCCTGAGCCGTCGCGCCCTCTCCTAGCCGGCTCCTCGTGCCGCCGTGCCCGCTCCTAGCCGGTCCCTTTCGTGCCCGCTCCTTACCGGCCCCTCGTGCCCGCCCCTCGTCGGCCCCGTGCCCGCCCCTTGCCGGCCCCTCGCGTCCGCCGTCCGCCGGCCGGCCCCTAGCGCCCGCCGTCGTCGTCGGCCCCTCGCGTCCACTGTCCGCCGGCCGGCCCCTAGCGTCCGCCGTCGTCGCCGGCCCCTCGCGTCCGCCATCCGCCGGCCGGCCCCTAGCGTCCGCCGTCGCCGCCGGCCCCGCATTCGCTTCGCCGCCGGCCTGCCACCGACTCGTGCCCGGCCCGTTCTTCCCGACCAGCACTGCCCTACAACCCCCTGGTACCGCACTGCACCGCTTTGCACCGCACTGTACCGCTCTGCACCGCTTTGCACCACACTGCACCGCTTTGCATCACTCTACACCGCATTGCACCGCGCTACACTGCACTGCACCGCACTACACCGCGCTGTACCGCACTGCACCGCACTGCATTGCATTGTACCGCACTGCACCGCTCTACACCACCCTGCATCGTTCCTGATGGCAGAGGTCCTTCGCTTTGATGCAGTGGGCTAGCCGATTGAGTTTGAGGCGTGGCTGGCCAACCTCCGCCGCCACCTCACTGGTCAGCGGCAGGATGGCCACTCGCTGTCTGTCCATCTTGACGGTACGCTCCCCTGCCCTGACCCCCCTGCTGCTCTGCCCGCTGACCCCTCGTCTGCTCAGCATGAGTCCGCTGCGGCCGCTGCCCTTGCTCACTCGGTCTGGCTGTCGCGTGATGCTGTCGCACAGCTTGCTATCAGCCATGCCCTCCCCCTGACTGAGCGCCCTCGCTTTAGGTCTGTCACCACTGCCCAGGCTTTCCTAGATGCTGTTGTCCAGCGCTATTCCACCCCGCCTGCTGCCTCGGAAGGTCGCCTGATCCTCCCCATACTCTTCCCTGACCTTGCGTCGTTTCCCACTATCGCTGATCTGGCCGCCCACCTGCGCACTATAGACGAGACCTGGCGCGTTGCCTGCACTGACACACAGCTTCGCGCTCACCAGCCGCCCCTCTGCTCTGCTCTCTACCTGTTGGCCACCCACCTCCCTGACCGCCTTGCCACTGCCTGCGACCGCTTCCTTAGCGTCCACCCCGGAGACCTCACCCTCACTGACTTAGTTGACACCCTGTCCGCCATAGAGGCCCGCCACCGCTCTATCGCCCAGATCAGCGGTACTGTGCCGGTCCCTATCTTTCAGGGTTGTGCCCCCGCTCAGTGCACCTTCTCCGACGGGTCTGCTGCTGTGGCTGAGAGAGCCGCTGCAGCACAGGTCCGTTCGGGGAAGGGTCGCCGTCCCAAGGTTGGGCGCGGCGGAGGGGGTGGGGGTTCGGGTGTAGGTGGTGGTGGAGTTGGGTTACCTGGTCCTCGCCGTGGCTTCGTTTGCGGTAAGATCGGTCACACCTCCGTTCGCTGTTTCTGTCGCCTGGACGACCTGTTTCGTTAGCGCTTCGGCCCGTCGCCCGAGCTCCCACACTGGCACAGCTTGCTTCGTCGTAGCATCCCGAACTTTTATATGGACATGGATGAGATTATTACTGCCTTGCATATGATGTATGCTGATGACTCTAGTGTGCTTCCTTCTTATTACCCCTTGCTGCCTATTGTAGGTGTGCCTACCTTAGACTCCCCTGCTGCGTCAGGCGTAGGATCTCTTGCTTTGTTTAGCCTTGGTACTTCCGTCGCTGCTTTGACTCCGGTCGCCACTGCCGCGCTTTCCTTCACCTTGGACTCTGGCGCTTCCCAGTGTTTCTTTCGCGACTCCACCACGCTGACGCCGCTTCCTGTTCCTGCTGCAGTTTCTCTTGCTGACCCCTCCTCCGGCTCTGTAGTCGCCCGCAAATCCACCACCCTTCCCTATCCGGCGGTTCCTTCGAGCTCTCTCACAGGTCTGCACATCCCCTCGTTCTCCAGGAACCTAGTTGGTGTCGGCTGCCTCCAGAACCTTGGCGTCACTACTACGTTCCCTGGTCACGAGCGGTACGGTGTCTGTACCGAGGCCGCCACTGGTGCCCCCCTTACCACGTTCCCACAGGACCCGGTGTCCGGCCTTTTCACACTGGACACTGTGACTTCTCCGGCTGGGACGCCCCCTCAGGTGGCTGCGTCTACTCAGGTTGCTGCTGCCTGCTCCTGTCGGTCACTCACTCACCCGACCCTCCTTTGGCACCACCGCCTAGGTCACCCTGCGTTCCCGCGTCTGCGTCACATGTCACAGCACAGTCTCGTCCTAGGCCTCCCCGAGTCGTTCCCCGAGTTTCCCTCTTCCCCAGCCCCACCTTGCACGCCCTATGTCGAGGGCCGGCTCCGCCGTGCGCTTCACTCCTCCTCGTTTCCCCATACTGCCGCACCGCTACAGACTCTGCACATGGACGTCTGGGGCCCCACCCTCGTCCATGGGCCGCGTCGAGAGCGCTACTTCCTAGTGCTTGTCGACGACTATACGCGCAACACCACTGTGTTCCCCTTGGAGCGGAAGGCCGACGTGCCTGACGTTCTCATCCCATGGCTTGTCTCTGCGCGTATCCACCGAGGTCTCCCTGTCTTGCGTCTCCACTCTGACCGTTGTGGAGAGTTTGCCTCTGGTGTCCTTAGTCGTTTCTGTCACGCGGAGGGCATCACCCAGACGTTCACCTTGCTGGACTCCCCGCAGCAAAATGGGGTCGCTGAACGACGCATCGGTTTGGTCATGGAGGTGGCTCGCACCTCCATGATCCATGCCGGTGCCCCCCATTTTCTGTGGCCGTTCGCTGTTCGCAACGCCGCTCACCAGCTTAACCTCTGGCCACACCCCCAGCAGCCGCAGGTTTCGCCGACCCTTCTTTGGTCTGGGTCTCCTGGTGACGCGTCTGCGTTCCACTTCTGGGGCTGCCTTGCTCACGTCCGTGCCTCTGGCACAGACAAGCTCACTGCCCGCACCGTCCCATGTGTGTTCCTTGGTTTCCCCCTCGTCTCATCTGATTGGCACTTCTATCACCCCCAGTCTCACCGTTTCTTTCACTCCCGCGACGTCACATTTGACGAGTTCGTCTCCTTCTAACGTCGTTTCCCACGCTGTGGTCCCCCGGTTACTCCCCCCCTGTTCTTGGTCCCCCCTTCCCCGGTGGCCCCTGCCCTTCCCTGTCCCCCTCCCCGTCCTGCCCCCTTTGGTGTGTCCCACGTCACCCCCCTTACATCGGTTGTCCCGGTTGAGGAGTCTGCTGACTCTGATGGTCCTTCAGCGCAGTCCTCGCCACCTGCCCCTCCTCAGGTGTCTCCTCCTCCGCCGCCTCCGCAGCCGCCGTCGCCACCGCTTTCGTAGCCGTCGTCACCGCCGCCGCCGTTGCAGCCACCGCCGCTGCAGCCGTCGCCGCTTCAGTTCGTTGACTCTAGGGATGCTTGCGTTGGGGTGGGTACTAGTACTGTGACTCCTGTCGTGGCTTGTCCCGGCGGGCCTGGGGGTGGTACTGGTGCTCGAGGGGTTCTGAGCTCTGGGGGTGTTCCTTCTGGGGGTGCTGGAGTGGAGTGTTCTGGAGGTAGCCGTCCGGCAGCTTGCGGTCCCGGTGTCGGTGGCGCAGCGCCACAGCAACAGTCCCCGCCGGTGTCAGCTCTTCGCTTGCTCGGCCTTCCGTCCCCTGACCTCGCGTCTGTGCCTCCTCCTCCTCCTGTCTACGACCCTGTGTTCCCTCCTCCGGACTCGTCTCCGGCTCGTTTCCCCCCTCGTTCCCCTCTTGTGTCCCCTTCTCTGTCTCCTGACCCGATGCCTCCGTCTCACTTCTGGTCTCGCCGTCCCTCCGGTGCTCGACCTGTCTCCACTGTCTCGCGCTCTCACCCTATATTGCTTCGTTCCCACGCGTCTCGTCCTCCCCTTCTCCCGTCTCCTCCTCCGTCCTCCCTTGTTGTTGCGCCCCCCCCTCTGTCTGACTACCTGCGTGCCGCTCGTCCTCTTGTTCCTCGGGTCCTTGCCTCTCTTGTTACCGACCCGTCTATTCCGGTTTCGTGTCTTGACGCTCTTGTCGTTGCGGTCGCTGACTTCACCTCTACCCGCCGCCTTGACTACACCACTGCTCTGGTCTCTGACCCTGCCAGTCCTCCGTCTGTCGAAGGTGCCCCTGCCCTCGGCAGTGACGTCCTAGAGGACCGTCAGTACGAGCTTGCTTTCCTGTCCGAGGCTGCTCCCCATCTCTGTTCCATGCTTCTAGTCCCTGAGGGTAACCCCGACGCTTTTGACATCTTGACCCCTCGCACTTACGCAGGGGCGGTTTCAGGTCCCTGATTCTCTCAGTGGTTAGCTGCCATGGAGCAGAAGATGGCATCTTGGAGATCCACCGGCACCTACGTCGACGAAGTTCCCCCACCTGTGGTGAACGTAGTCGATGGCCGCTGGCTCTTCAAGGTGAAGCGCCCTCCTGGAGAGCCGCCTGTGTTCAAGGCGCGCTACATGGCTAGAGGTTTCAGTCAGCGTGAGAGGGTGGACTTCTTCCAGACCTTTGCTCTGACCCCGAAGATGACTACTCTTCGGGTGCTGCTACACGTAGCAACTCAGCGCGACTACAAGCTTCACTCTCTTGATTTCTCTACTGCGTTTCTTCAGGGCAGCCTACACGAGCAGGTCTACCTGCGCCGCCCTCAGGGTTTCACTGGTACCTTCCCTCCTGGGACCCAGTGGCTCCTGCGGCGCCCTGTCTAGCGGCAGACCAGTGCTGGCCACAGGCAGACATCGACCTCAGTACTGGTCTGCCGCTAAGAGGGTTTTGCGTTACCTTGCAAGTAGATCGGGCATGGGTTTAGTGCTTGGAGAGCGTAGGCCAGTGGTCCTTACTGGGCACACAGATGCTTCGTGGGCAGACGACGCTGAGACTCTTAGGTCCTTACAGGGCTACTGCTTTAGCCTTGGTTTAGGTGCTATCTCGTTGAGAGCTACTCGCTCCTTGTCTGTTGCCCAGTCCAGCTGTGAGGCCGAGATCTACGCCGGTGCCATGGCGGCACAGGAGCTCCGCTGGCTGACCTTCTTGCTCACTGACTTTGGTGAGCGGCCTAGCTCTGCCCCGGTCCTGTATGCTAACAACACGTCCATGATCCTCCTGTGTCAGGAGCCGTGACTCGAGGGCAGAGCGAAGCACATCCAGCTGCGGTACTTACTCCTGCGTGAGCTGCAGCAGCGTCGCCAGGCCCGTGTAGTACACTTGGCCTCCGGTGCCAACACAGCTGATATCTTTACGAAGGCGCTTGCGCCTAAAGATCATCAGCGGCACTGTGTATATCTTGGTCTTGTTCCTGTAGCTTCTCACTTGCTGGGCCTTGATTGTGTACAAACCTTTTCTATATATATTACCCTGACTGGCCTTGTGGCCTCTCCCAGTGGCTGGACTAGTAGTGCCGCCCAGGTCTTGCTCTTGCCTTGCCTGTATTCCTTTGACTGGTCTTTAGACCTCTTGCCTCAGAGGCTGGACTAGTAGTGCCGCCCTGAGCTGCTTCTTCTCCTGTTAGGCACTGTCCCTATATAGTCTAGGGGATGTGTCAAATGTAACTTATGTAGTTACTGTAGACTATACTGGATTGTGCCTTAGAGAGTACAACCCCTAGTCTATATACCCCTGTATCCTTCTATTCTAGTCAACTACGACTCATTTTGATAGGTATTTCTTCAGGTGTGCAAAACATGGTTCACATATATACCATAATTTGGCACGAGAAATGATGCTTGCACAGCTCAGTCATAGAAATTCGTTCGTTTCTCTGATTTTGCACACAAACTTCCACGAAACGTAGTGGGTGCTGAGAGCACTACGCCTTATTTATTTTCAGCGTCATAAAAAAAGATGCCAGGAGTGGTTTACATCAACTAGGTGATTGTACAGTTCGAGGTCAACGCGGCTACACAGTAATGACCTCTCTGTTGCCTCTTGTGGTTTCTCCACCAACCTTCAATGCTGTCGCGACGCGAGAGGAGCATCAGCGGCCCTGGTGAGACAAGCTACCGCCTACGCGCGAGTTACAGGATCACGAAACGCGACAGGCTGATTTCGTCCAAAACGACACTGGGTGTATCCAGCGGCAATCCTGAGGGGGCCACGGCAGAAACAATCGTGATTTCTGATTCCCCCGTGCCTCACAGATACGGTATAACGGGGACACGGGCCAAATCGATATGGCACAGGTTTCATATCTAGGTCACAGGAAACACCGAAAACAATTCCCAGGGAGGTGTTTGAGGACCATGGCACCAGCACCTGGCACAGCAGCACCACTACGTAGGCAGGAAGGTATCGAAGTTGGCTAGTTTCCTGGCACTGCATTGTCTCCTACTGTCCGCCAGACAAGGGATGGAGCTTTTCGCGAATCTATTACCCGGTGTTAGACGCAGGCAAAGAGTACGCTTGGTGTTGATGGAAAGCTGACGTGCTCGTAGGAAGGTAGTTGTTGGAGGCAGACATGGCTGAAGCCGAGGAGCACTTGATATATTACGCCGCTATAGTGTATCGCGGTACTGTTCTATGCTCGCACAGCAGCTTTCCTGGGGACTGCACCGCCATTATTGCAGAAGCAATGCGACAATTGCCCGATAACGTCTCCAGCTATTCTCGGGTAGGCCAGTCAGGAGTAGGCTGGTAAGCCAATCATAGTCATGGTACGCTGATTGGCTACCTCTTGATGTTTCCGGGTCCGACCGTATAGAGTCTTTCCGGCATTTTACGAACTTTAACGTCATGTCAAAGTCCAGAGCCAGCCTAGGCCGCAACCCTAATTCAGCCAAGGCTTTTCAACAGGCTTGGCTTATCAATAGCCAATGCTTATCAATAGCCAATGCTTTTCATTATCTCACGGCATTTTCGGCCAGCCAGCGGCATTCTTGAGCACTCTTTAGTATAAGCGCGCTTTCGTGTAAGGTGAACTTTTTCTAAGGGTCCACTACACAGTCACAACTGCGTTTACCACTGACATCGTTTCATACTGTTGTACTCGTATACTGTAACACGAGCTGTTGTTTCTTACATCGATGCGGTGGCTTCACGCCACAGATATGCACCCGCATCGCTCGATCTCGATTCGTGCACGGGTGGTGGCTGTGTGAAGTCGCGTGCATGCATCCCTATGCACACGCATAGCAATTGTTACGCAGTCCCTTAGCTATTCCCCCGCTATCCCCGTTATAAGTTTCGTTCCCCTTTTCTGTCTACGTCTCCCCAATTGCATCTGCTTAATATTCTGCATCCCTTTCTGCATCATCCTCTGTATCCTCTCTCCCCGATTCTGGCATTGCTGTCCAATCTTTGATGCGCAGCGTTACGATGGGACCATGCTCGCATTTCTCGTGCGAGGCGGGGTCGTCTACACCCTCGGCGGCCACGAAGCCTTGGAAAAAATCCGCGCTTATGAGTTTCTGGAGCAGGTACGCGGTACAGTGTGTTTCACATGGCGTACAACGCGGTATGTGAAGGTGCATATATGCAGACAATAGCCGCCGTACATCCTAACTCAATCATTGAGTGAGCCTTCACTGTCCCATACCAGCCTTTCCTATACTTTAGCAGTGTCACTCCCAGAGTTGCCTTGCTGCTTCCTACTTCTCTCGATTCGTCCTCCTACGAGCTCTTGTCTTTTCAATCCGTATGATTCTACTCTCTCCCACCCTGCTCATAACCGTGCTAACCACCCTATCCTCCCCTGCCTATCATTTCCCTCCATCCAAACCTTCCCCTTCGTTTCTATCACAGCTTCGCGCAATACACGTCCTCGCAGCAACCAAAGATGGAATTTTCTGCAAAGATCTCCTCACCAGCCCATACAACCACGCCCTTCAAAGGCTCGGCGCGCGTATAGGCACGCTCACAGCAGCCGTGCGCGGCCCAATACCCCCAAGGCAGCCGCTGCTTGTGTACCCAGACGCTCCCAAGGCATACTTAACCTGCCGCTCCAGGGACGAGCTTCTGGCTAAGTCTCCCGTGCACCCACGAGCTGCTACAGCCAGAGCTGCTGCTGCTGCTGCTACAGCCAGCGCCGCTCCCCCTGCTACAGCCAGAGCTGCTGCCGCAGCTACAGCCGGCGCCGCTACCCCTGCTGTGTCTACAGCCGGACAGAGGGAAAGGGAGGTGAGTGGAGGAAGGACCGAGCTACAGTTGAGGCTAGGGGGTTTAAGCGGTGAAGGGGATAGATGGTTGTCGGAGACTGGGAGGGGCATGGGGCTGGGCCTAGAGAGTGGGGATGGTTCTTTGAAGGTGGAGATAGCTGATAGCAGCAGCAGCGGGTGTGAGGTAGAGGAAGAGGAGGAAGAGGAGGGGGAGGAGGAGGACTTTGTGTGGAATCCGCAGCAGCTGCTTCAGAAGCAGCGGCTGCAGACACGGCAGAGGCAGCAGCAGCGACATCAGCCACACTTGAACCAGCCGTTGCTGCTGCAAGATGAGGAGGAGACGGAGCGGCAGGAGCAAGGGAAGAACCCTCTAAGCGACGCTGGAGACTCGCCGTTGATTAGCCCCCGGCCCGAATGGGCGCGTCAGCTGGCCATGCTCCGGAATGGCAGCAGCAAAGACACACGTGCAAGCAGCAAGACGAAGAATCAGGGCAACGAGGCGGCCACACGTGTAGGCAGCAAGGCGAAAAGCCACGGCACGGAGGGGGAGATGCGCATGGGGGGAAGGAGAATGCAGGCCCACGAGGATGCCTGGGACGAGCGGAACGCTGGGAGAAGAGGGCGAAATGGGACGGCCGTGGGACCAACAGTAGCATCAGGAGCATCAGGAGCAGCGGGAGCAGCGGGAGCAGCGGGAGCAGCAGGAGTAGCTGGAAGTAGAGGCAAAGCCTCTCCCGTCTCTTATGGGCGATGTAGGTCCTTGTCATTTGGGGCAATCAGCACCAGTCGGCAGCAGGCTGATGTTTACGGGAATGATGGAGATTATACAGACGATAGTACCGATGACGGTGATGAGGCTGACCATAACGAGGATGATGATGGGAATAGTGACAATAAGGAGGTAAAGGAGGCATGCTGGTCAGGAGGGAGAGGGATGGTGGCGGATAAAGGTTCTCGTGGAGGAAGGCAGGAGACCCAATTTCACTTCCCCAGAAAGCGTGTAGCAGGGTCCTTGTCCCTATCCCACCTAGACACCCAGTTTTCACACTCGGATTCCGAAAGCACAGAATCTATGCCGGATGCAGGGGATGACTCCGAGTCAGACTCCCACTCAACCGCTGCATGGAAAGCACGCACGGTGGAGCAACAGGAGGGAAGGGTTAGACGGGCGGCTACTGAGTCCGGGCAGCTGAAGAGCCCCTTAGGCCAGTCTATCCGCACCAGGACCGGCTCTAGGATCGGTTCTTGGAAGGGTACTGATGCTAGAAATGGTGCTGGGGCTGCTGCTGGGGCTGGTGCTAGGGCTGGTTCTAGGGCTAGTACTGGGACTAGCAGTACTGCGTTCACGAAAGGGCACATAAAGAAGTCGTATTCCCAGGACTACACCATGCAGGTATTTCGGAGGGAGGAGGTATCAAGCGTACAGAGGGAGAGGCATGGGAGCGTGTCGCACTCTCAGCTGGCTGGCGAATGGAGCTCCAGCGCATCCCCCTCCAGGCAACTCTGGGATTCGGAGGTTGCAAGCAGACTGGCAGCAGTGGGTGCTCGTGTGCTGGCAGAAGGTGGAGAGGGACGAACAGGGGGAGGGCGATCTGGGGGAGGAGGAGCTGGTGCGCGTGCGCTGGCGGGAGGGGCAGTTGGAGCAACAGTAGAGGCAGGAGTAGGGGCAGGGGGGGTCAGGGCAGGCTTAGTAGGGGCAGAAGCAGGATTCTCTAGAGATGGTTCCGGAGATGCTTTGTTTGACGATATCTCCGAGGGGGATGAGGACGATTCAGACGCGTTTGAGTGGCGACCCTCGATGCGCCGCGCACGCATGCTGGGCTTGGCCCGGTCCACGTCAGCAGCCTCCTCTCCCACGTCAGCAGCAGGCTGGACAGGCTGGCGCGGGTTCAGTCAGCATCAGCAGCAGCAGCTGCAGCAGCAGCAGCAGGAGGGGACACAGGCTTGCAGGCAAAGGTCCCGTCAGAAGTATCCCCAGGAGGAGATTTCTAGAGAGAGGCCGCATTCAGCAGGGGCAAGAAGAGAGATATATGGGGAGAGGGGATCAGCAGGACTTCTAGGGTCAATTGGGCCAGCAGGGTTAGCCGGCCGGAGACCTGGTTCGGCTTCTGCTGTAGACAGGGAGAGAGGCATGGGGAGCGGGAGAAGAGACAAGAGAAGAGGGGCGGATTTGCCTGGGTCAAGCCGGGAGAGAAAAGAGGGTGCTGTGAAGGTTGCTCGAGCCAATGTTCCTGCCTCGTTGTCTTTAGGCGCCGGGGCTTCGTTGTCGCTGGGTGATGGTGCTTCGTCGCCTCTTGGTGCTGGCATCTCACATGGCGCTATTCCCCGTCACAGCAGTGTGGGTTCTGGTGGCAGGCGTGGTAGCGGCGATAGTATTAGGTCTGGTAGTGCTGATGGTGGGAGGCTCGGCAGTGTGGGTTTTGGTGGCAGGCATGGTAGTGGTGATAGTATTAGGTCTGGTAGTGCTGATGGTGGGAGGCTTGGCAGTGTGGGCTCTGGTGGCAAGCGTGGTAGTGGCGAGGGTATCAGGTCAGGTAGTGGGGATGGTGCAAGTAGGGAATCAACGGGGGTCAGTAGTAGGATAAGTGGAGCAGGGGGGGGAGGAGGTGGGGAAGAATGGGGAGATGAAGGGGATTGGGAACGAGGAAGAGTGGGAAAGGGAGGAGGAGGAGGAGTTAGAGAAGGGGGTGATGGTGGGAGGTTGAATTCACCTCGCCTGGTCACAAAAGGGAGTGCCAGGCGCACCAGAACAGGGGTGTCACACAGTGCCGAGTTCATCTCTCTTAGGCACATCAAGGGGCTATACACAGGCAGCAGCGGCAGCAGCGGTGGTGGCAGCGGTGGTGGCAGCGGTGGTGGCAGCGGTGGTGGCAGCAGAGGCAGCAAGGGTCGGTGCACAGGCAGAAGAGATGAGGCCGGTTTTGACCGAGCTAGACGCACAGGCAGCAGAGGCAGGCAGGTGAAACCAGAAGGCAACGATGCAGATGCCGAGTTAGACTCACAGCACCCCTCTCGGCCATACCCTACCTCGCATCCCTTTCCTGCCTCTTCATCTGTTACACTCAACACCACCGCCCTTTCCACTGCTGGCCACTCAGCAGCAGCAGCAGCAGCAGCAGCAGCAGCATCATCACCAGCAGCACCAGCAGCAGCCGCAGCTCTCTTCTCTTCTGCCCGTCGCCCGCACCCGCCTTTTAGCCCCCGCACCGCTCCCACCTCCCCATCCTCCTTCTCCCTCGTCTCCCCCCGGTACTCCCGAGGCCGCAGCGTCGGGTTCGGCCGATCCTCCAGCACGCAACAATCAGAGCGCGAGGAGCAGGCCCTAGCAGCCAAAAAGGCCCAGTTGGCAGCATTCAGTCGATGCGTGAGCACAGGGCACGGGGAGGAAGAGGAGCGAGGAGGGAGCAGCTTGGGTAGGAGTGAGAGTGAGAGTGGGGAGGAGTCTCGATGGGAGAGGGGCAGGGGAAGGGACAAGGACAGGCATAGGAACTGGGGCAAGAGCTATTTCCGTGAGTTGAAGCCACCCGGCGTGTTTGCGAGATCTGTAGACACCACTAGCAGTGTTGTTGACGATGGCTCCGGCAGTGGTCGTAGCCTTCTTGCAGATGGCACTAGCGCTGGTGGTTACGCGGATCACGAGGGTGGTTACTCAGCAGATGGCATGGGAGGTTATGCACGTGAGCCTTGTGTGTTCTCACCTGTGGCAGAGGACGAGGGGCAAGACCTCTCCTCCTCTTCCTCCTCTGCTGCATCCCTCTTCCTTCGCTCCATGAGCTCCGGCCGTGCGGAGGATCTGCTTCTGCAGCAGTTTCACCGCCACCTCTCCCCTGAAGTGCGCCCGGGCACAGGGGGGGGCGCCTGGAGCAGCAGGCACCGCACAAAGGGGTCACTCGGAAAGGGGGCAGCAGTGGGACAGGGCCGGGAAAGGGGAGAAAGGGATGGGCGTGGAGGGGAGTTGGAGCGAGGAGGAAGCGGAGGTGGGGCCGCGGTAGGAGGAGCAGCAGCAGCGGCGGCGGCAAGAGGAGGGGCGTTTGCGATGGGGCGGGCACGCAGCAGCAGCTTCAGTGGCGCTGCTGGTGGTGCCTTGGCAGGGAGAGGAGGCAGCATGTGGGGGGAGGAGGATGAGGGAGGTACACCTGGAGGAGGCACACCTGGGGGTGTGACACCCAGGGGTGGCACATCTGGGGGAGGTACACCCAGGGGAGGCGGATACGGCAGTGGGGCGAGCAGTGAGGCTGAGAGTTCTGGGTCTGTGATCGAGCGAGGAGGAGGTGGTAGTAGAGGCAAGAGAGGAGGGGGGGGTTTGGGGAGCGGGGATGGGAGTGAGGGCAGCGGGGGGCCGAGATTAACAGAGGAGCAGAAGCAGCGGTGGCAGGAGTATCAGCAGCTGCTGCCGCCGCTGACCCTTCCACCGGTGCTAGAACGCAGGCTGAAAATGCAGGAGGCTGTTCTGAAGAGGCAAGAGGCTTTGCTTCGGGAAGAGTTGCAGCAGCAGAAGCTGCTGCAAGAGCAGAAGCAAGTGGAGGAGAAAAAGCAGTTGCTGGACCAGCAGCAGATGGGGAGGCAGCAGCTTGCAGACCAAGGGGAGGCAGGACTTGTTGTTGAAAAGCAGAAGCAATCGGAAGGTGGGCCAGCTGAGGAGAACAATGGGAGGGAAAAGCAGCAGCTAAAGCCACAGGAAGGCGAGCAGCAGCAGCAGCAGCACCAGCAGCAGCTGGCACAGCCACAGTCACAGCAGCAGCCGATACTCCAGCCCCATCCGCCCCAGAAGCCACGGCTGGAGCCGCAGCCCCCCCAGCAGCCCAGGAAGGATCGTGACCGTCCGTTTGTGCGGCAGAGGATCTGCCACTCGGACGAGTTCATCCGCCTGCCATCTGGCATGACTGCCAGCGGGGGCGGCAGCCTTGTTGGCCTGTCCACGCGGGCGCACCGCGTGGCAGCTGCTGCCACGTCAGCAGAGTCTCCAGCGGGCGGCGGAGCGGGCAGCGGAGTCGGAGGAGGCGGGGGAGGAGGAGAATGGGGAGAAGGAGCAGGAGCAGGAGGAGGAGGGGGAGGTGGTGGTGGTGGTGGTGGTGGTGGTGGTGGTGGGGGTGGTGGTGATGGCGGTGGTGGTGTTGGGGGCAGTGGGAGTGGAGCAGGAGATGCAAGGGGAAGAGGGGCGAGATGGTCGAGGGAAATCCCAATATCTCTCTCCGGATCAGGCATTTCGACAGCAGTGCTCAAAGCACAATCTGATGCCATGACACATAGCATGACACATAGCATGACACATAGTATGTCACATAGCATGACACTTACCATGACAGATCATGCTGTGACGCCCACGCGTTCCCCCATCTGCACGCCACCACCGTACGCCCGCACGCTCACCTATGGCCAGTCCCCTCGCTCTGCCTTCAACCGCTACCGCATCAGGAGCCTGGGGGCCATTCCGCCAGGGGGCCTTGTGGCTGGGTCGATAGTGGTGGGAGGAACGGCAGGGGGAGCAGGAGCAGGGGGGAAGTCTGTAGGAGAAGGGACGGATCTGGAGGCCATGCTAAAAGGTGCTGCTGGTGCTAGTGCTGGTGCTGGTGCTGGTGCTGGTGCTGGTGCTGGTGCTGATGCTGGTGCTGGTGCTGCTGACGATGATGCTGGTGCAGGGGCGAGTGCTGCAGAAGCAAGTCCTGGAGGGGAGCAGGGTGGTGGTGCTGGTGAGAAGGAGCAGGGTGGGGCGGCCAGCAGGCTGCGGGGGTCAGTGGGGCTCACAGCGCCCTCAGGCCTCACGTGGGATGAGGAGATTTCTCGCAAGCTGGCTCTGCGGGGCGTGCAGGTGCGGCCCACCAGCAGCAGCGTGTCAGCGGCCACTCACACCACGCAACAGCCTTCCTCCTCTTCTGATTTGCACCAGATTGACGTTACGCAAGGAGGAGCGGCAGAATCTGTTGCTGCTGAAGCAGTAGTGAGTCCGTGTGATGGAGAGCGTGCCAGTGCCCGTCTCTCAGTCTCTGACTGGGTCCGAACCTCCCTCGCCTCAACACCTCCTACTGCGGAAGCTGCGGCGGCAGGAGGAGCAGAGGGAGCAGCTGGAGCTTCTGCACCAGGTGAATTTTCAGGTGAAATTGCAGGTGGAGGCTCAGATGAAGGCTCAGGTGGAGGCACAGGGAAGCTGGAGGGAAGGGGACAAGGCAGCAGCGTTTTCTTCGCTATTCCCGAGGCATCGAGGCAGATCTCTGCTGCTCCTGCTGACTGCCTTGGGACAGCAGCAGATGCAGGAACAGGATCAAGAACTGCCGGGCGGGCACACGGCCTCCCGCTTGAATCAGCAGCAGTTGTTTCTGCATTCGCCCGCCAGGAAGCCTCATTAGAATCCCTCTCCTCGGCATCACCAGAAGCAGCCGCAGCAGCAGCAGCAGCAGGCGGGTCCAACCACTCCCCCAAGCCACCTGCACCAGTTATCACCTACCCCGATTTCACCGAGCTCTCCATTGACCTATCAGAGACCATCCCCGTCACCCCCACTCGCTCTGCCAAGGGCGTCTCTCTGCCCACCTCCCCTGCTGCTGCCGCCTTTGCTGCAGCGGTGGCGGAGGTGGACGCGTCCGGATTCGCTGTACCGGAACAGATGCTGCGAGCAGAGCAAGGGGGGAATAGCCTGGGGGCGGAGAAAGGTGCCGGGGGGTCGCAGGCGTCCTGGCGGTCTGGGAGCGGTGCTAGCAGTGGGAGCGTGGGCAGGGGGAAGACAAAGCGCAAGGTGAGTGTGTGTGGAGGTTGGGGGGTCAACTGGGTTTATCTGGGGTCAGAGAAAGGCGCATGGGGGTCGCTCGCATCGTGGCGGTCTGGGAGCAGTGCTAGCAGTGGGAGCGGGGGCAGGGGGAAGAGGGGGAGGACAATGCGTAAGGTGAGTGTTTGTGGAGGTTGGGGAGTCAGTTGGAATGATCCGGGGCTCCAAGAAAGGTGCAGGGGGGCTAGTTGGATTGTGGCAGTCTGGGAATGCGGTGCTAGCAGCGGCAGTGTCGGCAGGCGCAAGTCAAAGAGCAAGGTGATTCGAACCGCGGTGCTTGCGGCGGCAGTGTGTGCATTGTGTGCCTGACTTTTGTTTCTCCCTGTGCTTCAACATGTGTTTCGTTATTGCACCTTTTGTATTGTGTGCTTGACCTTGTGTCCGTGGTGTGTGTGTGCGTTTGCCTGTATGCAGGAGCTTCCCGCCTGCTGCATGATAAGCTGAGCTCTTTGCTCTCTGCATGCAAGCCATTCAACATGGTAACTGGCAACCACATCATGTCCCATGGCAACTACATCATATCACATGGTAACTACATCATGTCACATGGTAACTACATCATGTCACATGGGAACTACATATCGCATGGTAAGTACATCATGTCATATGGTAACTACATATCACATGGTAACTTCACCCGAAGTGCTTGTCTTCTAAGTGGCATCCCTCAGTTTGCTTCAAGCTCTTAGTTATGTTCATCCACTGCACCCAGAATTGCTCAGAACCCACTGCACATTGCGAGATCTCCCCTTCGGGTACACAAATCCCTAAGAACCTCCCGCTGCTGTTACTCCAACTGGTGCAGAATCTGCTTTGGGGCCTTTGGTTGGAGCCCCTTCTATTTAGATTTACAGGTAGGTAGGGATGTAGGGTAGGATACTAGTATGGTTATAGAATGCGCTGTTGTCTTTGATAATCTATGTATCTCGTTAGTGTAAGTTCTTTCCACATTCTCGTTATAATACCAAGTATTGTGGGATGGTGCTTCCACATTCTCGTTATAATACCAAGTAACATCACGTTGCTACCCTTCTGCCTTGGAAGCTGGGCAGCACAGCATGATGCTCGTGTTAAAATAAGTTATAATTTATAGGCTTGGTATACTACTACTGAATACTGCTGTAGAGGGTACAACACCCCTTCTTGTATGCCTCTGTCTTCTTTTCAATCCCAACTTTTCTTCTCGACATTTCTCCTCACGACTCACGTTCCTAGATCTACTTTCCTCCCACCATCCCATGGCGTCATTCCTAGCTAAGCTAGTGTCCTAACTTTAGGAACCTAGACTCCTAAGTTTCTGAGATGGTATCAGAGAGGTCCGCTCCTAGCGGGCCTGCTCCTCACGATTCCGCCGCGCTTTCCTCTCCTTTTCCTCACGCTGCCATGGCGGCCGCGGCTGTCAACTTATACATATTAGCTATGTAGAAGTTATAGGCTAGACGGGGGTATGCTTCTAGTGAGTACAACCAACTAGTATTTGTTCTAGGTTTCTCCTTCTAGTTCATCATTCAGTTCCTACTTTAACATGGTATCACGCGCAGGTTAGAATCCCCCACCTACCGCTTCCACCCGTACCCTAGCTAGCCCCGTCGCGCCCGCCTGGCCCCGCCGCGCCCCTCCTGGGCCTCGTCGCGCCTCCTAGCCCCGTCGCGCCCCTCCTGGGCACCGCCGCGCCTCCTAGCCCCGTCGCGCCCCTCCTGAGCCCCGTCGTGCCCCTCCTGGGCCCCGTCGCGCCTCCCAGCCTCGTCGCGCCCCTCCTGGGCCCTGTCGCGCCTCCTAACCCCGTCGCGCCTCCTAGCCCCGTCGTGCCCATCCTGGGACCCGTCGTGCCTCCTAGCCCCGTCGCGCCCCTCCTGGGCCCCGCCGCGCCTCCTAGCCCCGTCGTGCCCCTCCTGGGCCCCGTCGTGCCTCCTAGGCCCCGTCGCGCCCGCTCCGGCCCCGTCGCGCCCTGCCTGGCCTCGTCGCGCCCGCTAGGCCCCGTCGCGCCCTGCCTGGCCCCGTCGCGCCCTGCCTGGCCCCGTCGCGCCATGCCTGGCCCCGTCGCGCCCTGCCTGGCCCCGTCGCGCCCGCCTGGCCCCGACGCGGCCTGCCTGGCCCCGTCGCGCCTGCCTGGCCCCTCCGCGCCTGCCCGGCCCTGCCGCGCCTGCCTGGCCCCGCCGCGCCTCCATGGCCCCGCCGCGCCTCCATGGCCCCGCCGCGCCTGCCTGGCCCCCCCGCGCCTGCCTGGCCCCGCCGCGCCTGCCTGGCCCCGCCGCGCCTGCCTGGCCCCGCCGCGCCTGCCTGGCCCCGCCGCGCCTGCCTGGCCCCGCCCCGCCTGCCTGGCCCCGCCGCGCCTGCCTGGCCCCGCCGCGCCTGCCTGGCCCCGCCGCGCCTTCCTGGCTCCTCTGCGCCTGCCTGGCCCCGCCGCGCCTGCCTGGCCTCGCCGCGCCTCCCTGGCCCCGCCGCGCCTCCCTGGCCCCGCCGCGCCTCCCTGGCCCCGCCGCGCCTGCCTCGCCCCGCCGCGCCTGCCTGGCCCCGCTGCGCCTGCCTGGCCCCGCCGCGCCTCCCTGGCCCCGCCACGCCTCCCTAGCCCCGCCGCGCCTGCCGTGCCACCTCGAGCTCCGTCTCCTCTGCTCGCCAGCGCCGGGGCGTCTCGCGGCCGCCGTGCTGGAGAGTGCTGCCGCCGTGTCCCTGCGTCGCTGTGTCCCTGCGGAGCTGTGGAGCTGTGCCGCTGACCCTGCACGATGGCTGACTTCGTGCTCCGACTGGACGCCGAGGGCCATGCGGTTGACTTCGCCGACTGGCTCTCCGATCTCCTCCGCCACCTTACAGATCAGCGCCAGGATGGCCACTCTTTGGTTGTCCATGTCGATGGCTTGCTCCCCCGCCCCCCCGCACCTGCTCCCCTCCCTGCTGACCCCTCCTCTGATGACCGTGAGACCTTCTCTACTACTGCGCTTGCCTGTGCAGTCTGGGACTCCCGCGATACAGTCGCTTAGGTTGCTATTAGCCACGCCCTCCCTGTGTCTGAGCGCTCGCGATTTGCTACTGTTGAGACGGCCAAAGCCTACTTAGACGCCGTTATTGCTCGCTATTCCACACCCGCGTTTGCTTCTGCTGGTCGCTTGCTCTTCCCGATACTGTTCCCAGACCTTGCAGCCTTCCCTACCGTCGCAGACTTTGCCACTCATCTGCGTGCACTAGAGACCCGCTATCGCACTGCCAGCACTGCTGCCCAGCTGACTGCGCTCCCCCCCCCTTTTTGCATGACGCTCTATTTTATCGCCATGCGACTGCCAGACCGCCTCGCTAGTGCTCACGATCACTTCCTTAGCCAGCACCCGGGTGACCTCACCCTCACCGCCGCTGTGGACACCCTCACCGAGATCGAGACTCGCAAACGCACTATCGCTCAGTCGAGCGGTGCGCCGACAGTCTCTATCTTTCACGGCTGTGCCCCCTCCCAGTGCACGTTCACTGACGTTTCGGCTGCGGTCGCCACGGCGACCCCTCTCACCGAGATGGCTGCTGCGGTCCACCCGCAGCAGCGCTCGCGCCGCGGTGGCCGTGGTCGCCAGGGAAGTAGGGGTGGTGGCGCATGTAGTGGTGGTCGTGGTGGTGGTGACGGTAGTCCGCCTGAGGGGACTACCATTGGTGGGCAGGAGCAGCACCCCCAGCCGCAGCAAGAGCAGCCCCAGCAGCAGCCGCCGTCCCAGCAGCAGCCGCCGTCCCAACAGCAGCCGCCGTCCCAGCAGCAGTCGCCGCAGCCGTGGGCCTGTCTCTCGCCAGGTTGGCCCGGCACCTCCGGAGGTGGTGGCCGTGGTGGCGGCCCGCGCAGCTCAGTGTCTACCGGCGGCTCCGGTGCTGTCACTTGCCAGTACCAGCTTCAGACCGGGCCTCTTCGCGGCACTCTGTGCCGCCGCCTGCACCCGACCGCCCGCTGTTTCCGCCGTCTCGACGATCTCTTTCGTCGTCGCTTTGGCCCTGCCCTGGACCTCCCCGACTGGCACAGCCTGCTCCGCCAGGGCGTGCCGATCTTTGAGTTAGACATGGATCAGATAGGTGCTGCTTTGCATGCCTTGTATTCTGATGCTTCTAGTGTTGCTGGATCTTATTACCCTGTGTACTCTAGTTTAGGCGTTGCACCGTTGTGTAGCTTAGCCTTCCCTGCTGCGTCAGGCGTAGGACTGCCTAGTTTGCCTAGCCTAGTCTCTGCACCGGCTCCGTTCCCGGCCTCTGCCACAGCTTCGCTGTCCTTCACTCTCGACTCCGGTGCTTCTGCCTGCTTCTTCCGCGACCGTTCCTCGCTCACGCCGCTTGCTACGCCTGCTGTTGTCTCTCTCGCTGACCCCTCTGCGGGTCCTGTCGTCGCTCGCAGTTCTACGTCCCTTCCCTGTCCAGCAGTTCCCTCGGGCTCCCTTACAGGCCTCCACGTTCCCTCGTTCTCGAGGAACCTGGTTGGTGTCGGCTGTCTCCACGACCTCGGCGTCACCACCACGTTCTCCGGGCACGAGCGGTTCGCTGTTTGTTCTGAGGCTGTCTCAGGTTCCCCCCTTGGGATGTTCCCCCGGGACCCGGTGTCCGGTCTGTTTACCCTACACACCGCTTCCCCCCCGGTTGGTGCGTCCTCCCAGGTCGCTGCAGCTTGCTCGTGTCGGTCCCTCACTCGTCCCTTCTCTGGCACCACCGCCTAGGTCACCCTGCTCTCCCACGTCTGTGTCACATGTCCCAGCACGGTCTTGTCTTAGGTCTCCCTGTGTCGCTCCCTGCCCTTCCTCCCTCGACTGCGCCACCGTGCACGCCTTGCGTCGAGGGCCGGCTCCGCCGTGCTCCTCACTCCTCCCCGCTGCGCCCTGCTACTGCCCCCCTTCAGACCCTGCACCTGGACGTTTGGGGCCCTGCCCCCGTCCCCGGACCGCGAGGTGAGCGCTACTTCCTTGTGCTCGTCGACGACTACACGCGCTACACCACGGTGTTTCCCCTGGAGCGGAAGGCCGACGTGCCCGACGTTCTTCTCCCGTGGGTTGTGGCTGCGCGTCTTCACCGCGGCCTCCCCGTGTTGTGTCTCCACTCTGACCGTGGCGGCAAGTTCGCCTCTGGTCGGCTTGGACAGTTCTGTCGTGCGGAGGGCATCACCCAGTCGTACACCTTGCCGGACTCGCCACAGCAGAATGGGGTTGCTGAGCGCCGCATCGGCTTGGTCATGGAGGTTGCCCATACCTCCATGATTCATGCCGATGCCCCCCATTTTCTGTGGCCGTTCGCTGTTCGCTACGCTGCTCACCAGCTTAACTTGTAGCCGCGCTCCCAGCGGCCGCAGGTTTCGCCGACCCTCCTTTGGACCGGGTCCCCGGGTGACGTGTCTGCGTTCCACGTCTGGGGCTGCCTTGCTCACGTTCGTGCCTCTGGCACGGACAAGCTTACTTCCCGCACTGTCCCTTGTGTCTTCCTCGGTTTCCCCCTGGACTCGTCTGACAGGCTTTTCTACCACCCGCCATCTCACCGCTTCCTCCACTCTCGTGACGTCACCTTTGACGAGTCTGTCTCCTTCTACCGCTGCTTCCCTCACCGAGGTCTCCCGGTTGCCCTGCCTCTGTTCCTTGCTCCCTCTCCCCCGGTAGCCCCTGCTCCTCTCCCGCCTCGCCCTGCCCTGTCTGGTGTCTCTCACGTCACTCCCATCCCGTCGGTTGTCCCCGATGAGGAGTCCGCTGACTCTGGTGGTACCCCCGGCCCGTCCTTACCGCGTCCCCCTTCCCCGGTGTCTTTGCCTCCGCTGTCGCAGTCGCCGCCTCCGCCGCAGCCGCCGCCGCCGTCGCCGCCGCTGCCGTCGCCGCTGCTGCCGCCGCCGCTGCCGTCGCCGCCGCTCTTGGCCCCTAGGGGTGCTGGTGTGGAGGAGGGTGTTCGTCCTGCGGCTCCTGGGGGTGCCGCCGGTGTTGGAGGGGGTTCTCGCTCTGGGGGTGTTGGTTCTGGGGGTGCTGTTGTTGAGGGTTCCGCCGACGGTCGTCCTGCCTCTGCCGG